CAGCTGGAAAAACTGCAATAGGGGTGAGTGTTAGACAATATTAAGGAATATGAATCACTTTTAAAAGGATGGCCACACTATTTTGCTCATGCAGGAAAGCGGTCCTCATTTTTCTTTTCTTTTTCTCGTGTTCCTAGTTTTTAAAGATACATAGTGAAGTGAGGGAAAAAAAAAAAAAGAAGAAAGAAACAATTCAGCAGTATCTAGAAGTTGACTCCCAGCTAACAAGCTGCTTCCCAATCAGGAATGTGAAACTGGCACAGTGCGGAAAACAGAACTGGTTTCCAAGAAGCGGGGGAAGAATAGATAATGTTTTATGGATGAAACAGAAATGCAGATGTGGAGAAGCAAATGCCCCCCCCACAGCCCCCTGCCCCCAAGACATGGCCCGCAGCCCAATTAGTCACGAAGGAAAGGCAAGCAGCAAAGCCACAGGAAGAAATGCTGTTGGCCATGGGGTTACTATAGCGATGAGCAAAACACTGTCAAAACACTAGGAACCTTAAGAAAAACTATACAGAGGATTTCATTTCTTCGTGGCCACACCTAAATGAGGTTTTTGGGTTTTTTTGTTTTGGTTTGGTTTGTTTTTTTTTTTTTTATTCCCAAAGAACCACTATGGATGGTGTAGTGAAGAAGGAGTATTAGGAAAGGGTAGGGATTATTCCTCAGGATTAGGAGCCGGTAACTCTGGGCCACTATGACCTCTGGTTCAGGTTCTGCCATGACCTCTCTTGGTGACAGTCCCTGAGAAATGTCTCTAGGGCCCCCACCGTCCCCATCTCTAAAAATGAGGGGTTAGGACGAGCATCTTAGTGTCTTAACAGTTCACAGTTAAAGATAGATAACTCAGTGCATGAAACGTCCACCTCACTGAAGGACCCTCAGGGCCATGTTCATTCTATAATTCGATAATTCTAGAAGTAAAAGGCTCATCGTTCTACTGCATACGCAGCTCCACTGGGTGAGGATTGCTGTCGTGTAGAGAAAAGAAGACTACTCATTTGCTTAAAGAGAAAACATGAATATTTGTTCTATTACCCTTCCCCCCTGTCTGGCATTTTCATTATACTTTCGGTTTTAAAGCCTGATTTTATTTAATGGTCTGCAACCACCACAAACAAAAACATCTTATGCTTTTAGCAGTCCATCTTGTCAGTGTATCTGCCTCGCTAAATTATAGAATTCTCTGACTCATCGGGACAACATATTATCCTCTAGACAGCAAATTGAAAAAAAAGCAATTTTCCCATCTCTGAGAAAGATAATTGATCTGATTTTGCTGTCAATGTTACCATCATTCACTCTATCACTCAGGCTCGGAAACTTGAGATTATTTTTACTCTCTGTACCTTTCCTTGCCCACAGAGTCCCCAGGCTGTAATGAGTGGCCTTTAATGTCTCTTGCGTCGATCCCCTCTGCTGCCTCCTAAGTTCAAGTCCCTACTACCTCTCAAACCCAGATGACCGAAATAGTCTCTTTCCCTTTAATGACTTGGTGTAGGGTTCCTTTTCATTATGAAAGTAATACAAGCTCATTATAGGTAATTTGGAAATTTCAGAAAGGTAGAAAATAACCCAATTATTGGTGTGGCCCTTCTGCCCAGAGATGATCATTTTGATCCCTCTCCTTCCACTTGTGGTTCTACATGTATATTCATGCGTTTTTATCCAAATTAGGATCCAGTGTAGTCTGCGGGATGTTTCTTACTCTTCTATCACGATTATTTTGCTGTGACATTAAATGCTTTGAAAACCTAACTTTTTGTTTAAACTAATTCTCTATTGTGGATGATTCACTGGCTTCTAAGTTTTTCATGTTAGAGACAAATGCTGCATTGCCCGTCCCTGTGCCATTGTTGGGTTACTTCCTCAAAATGGACTCTTCAAAGTGTAACGATCAGATCAAAGATTCTTGTGACATTTTTCCAAGCTGCCCTCTCTGTAGAAGAGGCGCCCGCTCCCTCCGCACTTGCTAACGTTGGCCCTGATCACTTTTCAGACTTACTAGGCTGGACATTTCTATCTCCTCCATGCTCTGGCTGATGTCCTGCATATACTCGTGAGTCGACATGTTTTCATGGGCGTTGGGCATCTGCCTCACGGCACTCGAACTCATCTCCTTTCTGCTGAGAGGGGCAGTGAGCGCAAATGCCTGAGGCATCTGGCAGGTCAGCTCAACTGTGAAACCAGTGGGAACTGGGAACGGTAGGGCCTCGGAGAAAGTGGCGGAGTGGACAGCCGGCTGAAGCTTCCAGACTGAAACCCTTGAAATACACCACGCCAGCCAAACAAAAGCCTGGATGTGGCAAGTTGGGGACTAGCTTCCCAGTTTGCTACCGTGCCTCCGCCTCTAACCCGCTCCCTTCACACCGCTGTCAGGCTGCTATTCCTTACGCTTTCCCACAGAAGGCCAGCCGTAATGCGACTCCAGACCTTTTCCTCAGAAGGCCCCATCTCCACCCTCTCCCCTTCTGTCAAGAACAACTCCCGAAGGTAGTGAGCTCCTTGAGGACACTCTCTCGTACAAGAGGCGATGCAGCAGAGTGGAAAGAGAGAGAGAAGTCTAGAATCAGACCGTGCCGGGTCAAATCCCCCCTTACTACCTATTAGCTGTGTGACCGCAGGAAAGTTAGCTAACCTCGCTGAGGCTTCACTTCCTCATCTGTGAAAAAAAATGGTACTAACAGCACCTTTGCCGAAGGGTGGTTATGAAGACGCAACAAGGAACAGAGGCCAAGCTCCTGATATGCTGTGGCCACAGAGAGGACTTTCAGGGACCTGTTAGAGGTGTCCAAGGACCTGCACGGCTCCAGCCCCCGGCAGCTCGCGCACTGGCTGGGGAGATGGAGAGAGCGACGGGGTGATCCTAAGGAAAGTAGTCGCCCCAGTGTTTTTCAAAGTGGGCTCTGCAAATGGTCTTGCCAGAATAGGAATCCTCTGTGGGCTCCTGTCAAATAGGCAGACTTAAGGAGTGGAGCCCATCCCAGACCTGTGCAGTCCGACTTTCTGGAGGTGGGGCCCGGGAGGCTCTGTTCTTGCAAATGCTCCAGTTGGTTGTGACACCACTGAAGGCGGAGAGCCACCGGCTGCCACACTGCCCCTCAGTGACAGCGTACCATCTCCTCATCAGGCACATGACTTTGGGACCCACCTGCCTGGTGGGTCCCCATCCCCCGGGATTTGGCAGCCTGACCATGACTCAGTGAAAAAGTGATTCAGACGCAACCTCCCCGGAAAGCACGTGGGCCTCCCTGCCTCCTCTCCCCTGCTGCATGTCATCGCTACTACTGTGAATCACTTGTGATGACAAGAAGTGTTTGGGGAGGGGCGCCTGGCTGGTTCAGTCGGCACAGCGTGGGACTCTCCATCTCGGGGTCATGAGTTCAAGCCCCATGTTGGACGTAGAGCTTACTTTTTAAAAAGACAAAAAAAAAAAAAAAGAACTGTTTGCGGATTAATAATAAATGGAAAGTGCCGATGCTCATGGTCATCACCGAGGCTGGCCGGGGGCTCACGAGTGCCTGCATGCTAAGCGGCCTTTATGCATTCAAGTAACCGGACCCACATGCAACCACGAGGCAGGAGCTATCATTACCTCCACTTCACAGCTGAGAATAGCAAGGCCCAGAGAGGTTGAGGAAGTTACCTCAGGTCAGACAGATAGTAAATGAGATTTGAATCCAGACAATCGGACTCCAGAGCCCAGACCATTATGTGCTACTGGCTACGCTACTTCACTCAATTAATTGCCCCGTGCCTCATATTACTCATTTAAAATCGATGTAAGAATAGTGATATTTATCCCAGTTAGTGTCTTCATTATTTTATTTGGGTGAATGTGCTTCTCAGAGAAACCGGATGCTCTTGGGTTCCCCAGGTCTTGGGTTTTCCAGCCACAAATTCCAGCATGAGTGTGCAGCTAACTAACCATAACAGCTCAGGCGGCTTTGCCTCGTCTTCGGAGGCCAGCTTTCCAGGCAACAGCATGAACGAGATCGGTTTCTGCGCTTCACCCCATCTTTCTATTTCCCCAAGGATCCAAGAGGCAGAAGCCCTGCCTACTAGACTGCTTTCATCAGGGAGGCTCCACTCCTGGAATGTTTGGATTGAACAGACTCCCTGCTCCGGGTACAGAATGAAGCCCAGTGACAGGAGACAGGCAGTGTTCTGAGGACTTCTCAAATGGTATGCTTAGTCTGAGATACCACATTTTTTAATTAATTATTTTTTATTCTAAGTAGGATCCACACCAAACGTGGGGCTCAAACTCACAACCCTGAGATCAAGAGTCACACGCTCTACTGACTGGGCCAGCCAGGCACCCCTGGGGTACAACATGATAAATTGCCTCTTCCTTGATCTTTCAGATAAAATGGAGATTAAAATAACCAATTTTAGGGGTGCCTGGGTGTCTCAGTCAAGTAAGCGTCTGCCTTTGGCTCAGGTCACGATCCCAGGGTCCTGGGATCGAGCCCCACATTGGGCTCCCTGCTCAACGGAAGCCTACTTCTCCCTCTCCTTCTGCTACTCCCTCTGCTTGTGCTCTCTCTGAATAAATAAATAAAATCTTTGAAAAAAATAACCAGTTTTGAAACAAGTTCTGACATATGCTACAACATGGATGAACCTTGAAAATATTATGCTAAGTGAAAGAAGCCAGACACAAAAAGGACAAATGTTGTGGGATTTCACTTACACAAGGTACCCAGAATAGGCAGATTCATAGAGACAGAAAGTAGAAAAGAGGTTACCAGGGGCTGGGGAGAATGGGGACTTACTGTTTAATAGGCACAGTTTCTATCTGGGATGATGAAAAAGTTCTGGAAATCATAATGATGGTTGCTTGACACTGTGAGTGTACCTGATGCCATTGAGCTGTACATTTAAAAATGGTCAAAATGGCAAATTTTATGTTTTGTACATTTTACCAAACTCTTTACAAATCCCACAGCCTCCCAACAAAAACCAATTTCGAACTTCATGGAATCAGGGCTTACCAGGGTATCATCGTTCTGGTCTCCAAACATTTCTTTAAAAATCTTGCCAGGATCAGGAATTGGAGGGAATATAATGATCTTGAGCCTTTAAGAAAACAGAAGACATTTTTTGGTCAAATCTTCCAAGCCCACTTAAAAAAAGCCACATTAAAAGAAGACTTGGACTAAACCATGGTACAGAAGTCATCTATGATGATGACGCAGCCGTGAAGAAATTTCCACAAGAAGCTGAGAAACCGATGTCCTGAGATCACCCAGGATGGGTAGACCAAAGGGGCCATGAGGGTAAGCAGACTGCTCATGCCCCATCATCATTAAACCTTTTTTCCCAACTTTATAGAGATATATACTCGACAAATAAAAATTGTATTTGAGATGAACGACATGATGCTTTGATACATGTATACGTTAGGAAATGATGACTACAAGCAAGCGAAGTAACACGTGTCCATCACCTCACACGGTTATGACTGTGCACGTGTGTGTGTGTGTGTGTGTGTGTGTGTGTGTGTGCATACATGTACGCACGCAGGTATTTAAATAATGGTGCTTTACTCATCATCAACCTGATTGGGGCTTACTGCTTACAATTTTGAAAAAAATAATATTCTGAGAACAGGGTCATTCTTCTTTAATTTTTCTTCCTTCTTCTCCCCCTGTGCATCTTTGCACCTCATAGTACTCGTTGGTGGGCCTACCTCACCTCCTGGGCCTGAAACACTGGTGTAGCGCGGGGCTCCGTCCTTTGCCCTCCATCCCAGCCGCTGTGCGAGTGCCCTCCTACAGTCTTAGGGCTTCGGGTCTGTCTACATGTCGAGGGCTCCCAAAATTCTACCTCCAGCCCAGACCTCTCCCTTGTACTCCAGGTTCATCACAACACTACCCATTCAACATCTCTACCTGGGTATCTATCTAACTCGGCATCTCGAACTTCCGTTCAGACCCGAAGCCCTCACCTTCGCCCTAGAGCCAGCGCTCCTCAGTCTTCTCTGTCTCAGCAGACGGCTCCGGCGGTCACTCAAGCTGCCGGAGCCCAGAAGCCTGAGCGCTCCTCGAACCCTCAGTCCCCCCTATACCTCCACGGGTGGGGGAGCAGCTGCCAGCAAGCGCCCTCAGTTCGACTTTTCAAACACAGCCCGCCTCTGACCACAGCTTAGTACCTCCGCAGCTCACCTCCTAGGCTAGGCCGCCCGCCCCTTGGCCGCCGCACACCGCAACGTCGCCTCACCGGCCTAGCCGCTGCCATCCGTGGCCAAGCCGATTCTTCGTTCAGCAACTGCGCTGACCTTTTGTGACAGTAAAATCAGGTCGTGTCCCTTCCCTGCTTGAAACTCTCCAATGTGTCCCCATCACGCTTAGGAAAAGAAAAATGTCAACCCCCTGCCACGGCCTATGGGAGCTAGCTGCGCCCACCTCTCCGGCCTCTCTCGCGTCGCTCTCTGCCGGCAGGCGCAGAGAACCTTCCCTCAGACACGATCTGCGGATGCTCTTTCCCACAGCTTTAAGCAGCAACCTGTTCTGCATTAATACTAGCTGAGTCGCTTAATTAGTAACGTTCTCCACTTCTAAAACTTTGTTCCAAGGGCTACCAACTATCTGTGGCTATATGAGGCATCTGAAAGAGGAGAATGAACATGGGGCCTACCGATCATTCTAGACGCACGCAAAGGGAGCAGCAGCTCCTGAGCGGGGCTCGGGGAAACGAACTCAATTTTCCCCACCAGAAAATGGGCACGATAAGCCTTCTTTGCCATGCCATGCTATGAAAAGCAATTTATACCCAAAGTGCTCCTGATAGCTGAGGCAAACACCCAATACCCTCCCAGAGAGTTGTAACTGGAGCCCCAGGCCAGTAGAAACTGCCAGGCCGACCACGGCAGCTGCCTCACCTTTTGAGATAAAGCAGAAGGACGATGATGGCGCCCGCAACGATGACCGGAGTGGCAAGCAACATGCTTATGTAGAACGTGGGATCGGTATTCTCACCTGGCAAATGGAAAGCAAACACGAAACGTGAGAGATCAACCCCTTTTAGAAAAAAACACCAAGCAACAGTTGGATCAAAATAGTGAGATCACAGATCTTTCTGTACTCCACCCAACCTATTTTCCCCAAATCTTCAATCATCTTGTCTTCTGTTCCCTTCATCGTAAACAACACAGTCCTGCTCTAGTGCCTAAAATACCACGGATGAATAAACACCTTGAGAGTTATCCAAAACCTAGTTTCAGACACTACGTTTAACTAGTTTCAGACACTATGCACAGTGTTACACCGGTTAGAAAGGTCATCTCATTAACAGTGACCACCTTTTCTTATTGGTTCCTTAACCACTATTAGAACATGTAAATCAATCCTAACCGCCACTCCTTCTTAACTGAGCATCTGCTATATATGTGATACTACCCCAAGGGCTTGTACATGTTTGTATCTATGCCATACAGATATATAATAGTATCTCCCATTTCTACAGATGAGAAGGACAAGGCTCAGTGAGGTTCAGTGGCTCGTCCAGAAGGGGTTTGGAAGTGATGCCGTCAAGCCTCAAGTCCAACGCTGTCTGAAAAGTTCCAGAGCTTTTCATGAACAGCCTTGCTAGACCTCACTCACAGAATGCCATGTCTATTATATGCTCGTCTTTCCCACCAGGGCATGACCATCCAGAAAGCAACATCAGAGCCTAAAGTCATTGTGTTAGTCTCTAAGGTGACCCCAAATGATCACAGCCTCCTGATACTTATAGCCTTATGTAATCTCCTCCCCTTGAGGGTGGGCTGGACTGACTGACTGGACTATAAAGAACTGAAGAGCAGTGCTGATGTCATTTCCAAGATTAGGTTACAAAAGACTGTGATTTCCACATGGGTGGTCCCTCATGCACTCTTGCTTGGGTCACTTACTTGAGCAAGCTAGCTGCCATTTCATGTGGCAGGCCTGTGGGGAGGTCCCAGGGGCAAAAAACCGAAGGAGGCCTCTGCATTAGCTTCCTAGGGCTGCTGGAGCAAATCAGCACATGCCAGCTGGCCTAAAACAGACGTGCTTTGTCTCACGGTGCTGGAGGCTAGAAGTCCAAAATCAAGGTATCCACAGGGACATGCTGCCTCTGGAGGCTCTAGAGAAGAACCCCTCCTTGCTTCTTCTTAGTTTCTGCTGGCTCCCTGGAATCGCTGGTGTTCCTTGGCCGCAGCTGCATCACCCTATGCTCTGCCTCCCTCCTCACGGGGCCTTTTTCCCCGTCGGTGTTTCTGGGTATCCTGCCTTCTTACGAGGATACGTCATCGGATTTAGGGCCTACTCGGAGACAGTGGGGCCTCATCTTAACTTGCTAACATCTGCAAAAAGCCTACTTCCCAATGAAGTCACGTTCACAGGTGCAGGAGCTGGGACCCGAATGTACCTTTTCGAGGGATACGATTCATCCTGCCACAACCTCCATCCAACAGCCAGCAAGGAATGGAGGCTTTCCAACGACCCCATAAGTGGGCCTGGAAGTGGGTTCTCCAGCCCCAGTCAGACCTTCAGATGAGGCTGCAGGCGCAGCCAACAGCCTGACTGTAACCCCATGAGAGAACTTGGGCCAGAGGTACGAGGCTAAGCTGGGCCCTCATTCCTGACCTACAGAAACTGTGAGATGGCAAATATGTGTCTTTTAAGCCACCACATGTTGATGTGCTTTGTTATGCCACAAGACCGAACTCATACAACCATGCCTGGCCCACAGCTTATTTAGTCCCTCAATGAACAGGGAACTGCCTTCCTCAATAATCTGTTTCTCTGACCGTTACAGAGCGATTAGAAAGTTCTTCCGTTGGTCCCATTTTGCCCCATGGAACCACGAAAGAAAATAAGCTATTCCCTCTTCTGCCTAACCACCAATATTAGCCCAAATAATAGAATTCAGTGATCGGGACTCCTTGCCCCTAAGCTTGCTTCAGCAACCAGTCCTCACATCCTGATAACCCTCTGGGGGATAGAGTCCAGTCTGCCACTGAACCTCCTGCAGTGTGGTGCCCAGAATGGAATACCGCACCCTTGCGGCGTGTCTGGGACACCGCGTCCCCACCCTGTAGCACTCCCCTGTCTGGGTGCTGCAACGGCACCGCGGCCTATGGCTGCATATGCCTTAGAGGTGTATTTAAGCCAATGATGAGTCACTCTGAGCTTCCGGTTCAATAAAACCCTATGCCCCCACCCCACAACACACACACACACACACACACACACACACACACACATCCATAAAGCACAGGTCTTTCAGATCCTGTACTTGGGCCTGACACAGTTTGCTCAGCCACTCCATTCATACATGAAACTATTGTTTTCAAACCTAGATGCAGTTTGATCTCTATTAAATGACATCAAGGTCACTGCTCTACTCTCGATTCTGTCACCAACAGGCTAGCCCTCTAGCACTGCACAATCTGCAGACTTAATCGCGCCTGCCTTCTGATATTTTTGTTCAGATTGTTAAGAAGATGGAGACAGGACAGAAGAGAGAATAACACCTTTTGGATTGTGGATTTCCAAAGAGCTGTACGTTGTGAACTAAACCTGGGGGATTTGACAGTAATTAAAAGAGAAAACACAGTTCAATTGCAGACATTCCCTGGATGACATTAAGAATGCAGAACAATCCTTACCCCAACCTATTTTCTGCTTCAGCTTAGTTCCCATGCATCAGTGGTTTAAATTTTAATGAAATCCCGTTCTCTTACCTATACTCATCGCTTGACTCCAATTACTCCAGAGTTTGTCATCCTCATAGCATAACTTGTTTGTTCTGACTCTTATTCTGACTGTGTTCAAAGTATCAGGAAGAACACTGGGGACCATGAAACAAATTGTACCCTTAGATATAAAATAAAAACACACAAAGAATGTTACCAGCTTATTCTCTTTCTCTGCTTCTGAATATCCTAAATTCTGTACATGATTAAGACGTGGACTACAGTCCAAATTATCTGACTTTAACTCCTCAAAGAAAAACTGGCAATAAGCCACAGAACAAAGGAGTCTGTTTCTCTCAAAGTAGTTCAAATTTAGGCTATGGTTGCCCTGCCCCACCCCCAATTATTCTATGACTTTAGGCCCAAAGAGTTAAAGTTGAATTTACTGACCTCCAGGTTTCCCTCAAATTCTGAATTCTGACATTTGGCCTCTTCAACCTGGAAGACATAAAAAAACAAATAGGTTCAAAAAATTCAAGAGACTAATTTATATCATTTAACCATTTCTAACAAGGTCCCCTTTTATCCCATCAAAAGACGACTAGGTACAGTGAAAGAAGGTTTTTTTTTTTTTTTTAAATAAGTGGTGCTGAGTCAATTACATATCCATACAGGGGAAAAAAGAATCCTGTACCCTACCTCACACTATTTACAATCCATCTCCAGATGGATTGGAGATCTAAATGTGAAAGTTAAAATAAACTGAACAAATAAATACATAAGTACAGCAAGATTTTAGAAGAAAATGTAGAACATCTTCATGAGCTTAAAGCATATTTCTTAAATAAAACCAAAAAATATTAACCCTAAAGGAAAAACTGTTATAAAGTCATCGATATTAAAATTGCAAACTTCTTCTGTTCATCAAAGATACCCTATTAAGGAAATTTAAAAAAGTCATGTATGGAGTGACAGAAATTATTTGCAATTCCTAACAAAGGACTTGCATATCTATATATATATCATATAATATATACTTAAATTTACATATAATACGTGCACACATATATACATAGATCCCACCAACTAATAAGGAAAAGACAGACAACCCAGCAGAAAAACTGGCAAAGGATTTGAACAGGCATTTCTCAAGAGGGTATTCAAATTCCTAAAGAACAGGGGCAAAAGTGCTCAACTTCATTAGTCATCAGGGAAATGCAAATTAAATCCACAAGATAACAATACACACACCTACCAGACAATACGGAGTGTTGCTGAGAATGTGAAGCATCTAGCACTCTCAATGTCGGCTCTTAGTAGTGTAAATTGGCACAGCCATTTGGGAAAAGTCTTATTATCTATTAGAGACGATCCTAGGTAAGCCTCTGAGCCACACACGCCCACCAGAAATGTATGCACGTGCACACCAAGAGACAAGCCGGCAACGTTCATAAAGACTCTATTCATAAAGCCCCAAGCTAGAAACTATGCTCATGTCCACCAGAGGGAGAATGGAGAAATCAAATGTGATATGTATCGACACGATGGAATGAATGCAATGAGAACCAAACACTGACAGCTACAGGCAACAAAATCTCTGTGACTCTTGTAAACATACCATTGAGCGAAAGAAGGCAGACACGCACGAAAAGTAAATTCTGGGGGCGCCTGGGTGGCTCAGTCGGTTAAGCGGCTGCCTTTTGCTCAGGTCGTGATCTCAGGGTCCTGGGATAGTGGGATCAAGGCCCCAAATCGGGCTCCTTGCTCAGCAGGAAGTCTGCCCCTCCCCTGCACTTGTGTGTGTGTGCTCTCTCTAAAGTAAATACAATCTTTTAAAAAAGTAAATTCTGTACAATTCATTTATATAAAGTTTACAAAGAGGCAACAAAACTAATCTATGGGATTAGAAGTCCGGGTATTAATTGTCCTTTGGGAGGGTAGTGACCAAAAGGGGTCACAATGGGGCTTCTAAGGTGCTGGTTACATAAGAGCAAAGTCATTTGCAAAAATCACTTATGAAAAATCATTGAGCTCTACATAACAACTCATGTGATTTTTTTACTGGACACTATACATCAATTAAAAGTTTAAAAAAAAAAAACAGTGGTGCCTGAGTGGCTCAGGTCATGATCCCAGGGCCCCCGCGTAAGGCTCCCTGCTCAGAGGGGAGCCTGCTTCTCCCTCTCCCTCTGCCCCTGCTCCTCTCTCTCTCTCACGCATGCTCTCTAACAAATAAAATCTTAAAAAAAAAAGTAAAAAAAAACAGTCTCCCTTGTTGAGAGTATAATATATCAAACACAATTGGGTTAGAGAAAAGACAATATAAAGCAAAATTCTCCTTCACACAATTTAAGTCATTTGCTGTCTGATGGAAAGAGAAAGATCCGTTCCTAAAATGCAATTATTTCAAAACTGGAGCAAAAAAAACCAACACATGAAAATCTGTTGCTTAATATAAATAGTCTACTTCTGGCCAACAGATTATACGAAAAGATGTTCAACATCACTAATCATCAGAGAAATGCAAATCGAGACCACAATGAGGTATCGCCTCATACCTTTAAGAATGGCCATCACCATCGAAAAGGTAAGACAACGAATGCTGGCAAAGGTGTGGAGAGAAGGAAACCCTCATACGCCTGTTGGTGGGGATGTGAACAGGTGCAGCCACTATGGAAAATAGTACGGAGCTTCCTCAAAAGGTTAAAAATAGAAATACCAGCATAGGAAATAGAGTCAGTAATACTGTGATAACATTGTATGGTGACAGATGGTGGCGCCTACGGTGAGCACTGAGAAATGTACAGAATTGTTGAAGAAATATGTTGTATACCGTATCTCAATTATACTTCAATTAAAAAAATACCATATGACTCAGTAATTCTACTACTGGGTCTCTATCTGAAGAAAATGGGGGCACCTGGGCGGCTCAGTCAGTGAAGCCTCTGACTCTTGGTTTCAGCTTCAAGGTCATGATCTCAACGGTCATGGGATAGAGCCCCGCATCAGTGGGGAGTCTACTTGAGATCCTCTCCCTCTGACTCTCCCCTCACACACGTGCTTCCTCTATAAAATAAATAAATAAATTGGGGGGGGAAGAAAATGAAAACACTAATTTGAAAAGTTACATGCATCCCTGGGGCTCCTGGATGGCTCAGTTGGTTAAGCGTCCAACTCTTGATTTCAGCTCAGGTCATGATCTCAGGGTTGTGAGATCTGTGCTGGGTGTGGAGGCTGCTTGGGATTCTCTCCCTCTCTCTGCCCCCTGCCCCAGCTCATGTGCTCTAACAACAACAAGAAACTATAAAAGGAAGAAGAGGAGGAAAAGATACAAGATACATACACCACTATGCTTGCTTCAGCATTCGTCAGTTATTTACAATAGTCAAGATATGGAAGTAACCCAAGTGTGCACTGAAAGATGATTAAGAAAGAAAATGTGATACACACACATACACACACACACACACAGAGAATGGAATATCATCCAGCTGTGGCAAAGAAGGAGATCCTGCCATTTGTGACACATGGATGCAACTCAAGAGCGCTGTAGTAAGTGAAGTAAGTCAGGGAAACACACTGTATAACCTCACTTAAATGTGGGATCTAAAATGAGCTCACAGAGGCAGAGAGAAGAATGGTGGCTGCCAGGGGCTGGGCGACTGGGGGAAATGGGGAGATGTTGGGCAAAGGGTACAAACTTCTACTTCTAGGTTCTGGGGATCGAATGTACAGTGTGGTGACTATAGTTAATAATACCACATTGCATACTTGAAATCCGCTAAGAGAGTAGATCTTCAGTGTTCTCACCATGTAAAAAAGGGGTAACTAACTTTGTGACGTGCCGGGTGAGTTAGTTAACATGACTGTGGTCATCACCCCACAAGGGAAATGTACATTGAGTCATCACGTTGTACACCTAGAAAATAATCACACTGTACAACCCAAATATATATGGTTTTTACTTGTCAATCATACTTCAAAAAAGCTGGAACCAATGGTCAACTTCTGTCAAAGAGACATTTAAACATGGGACGAAGACCAGAGCACACGGCTATGACTTTTGACCTTGCATGTTACTAAGTGGTTCCTAGCGGCATCTGTGAAGAGCGGAAAGGCGAACTAAATGATGATGAGCATCCTATCGACGCTTCGTATGGGGCACAGGAAAAGCCACTTGGGAATCAGAGACCTGCTGGGGAATCCCAAGGACCAGCCACCACTTGAGGGACCTGGTTGCATGCTCATGTCCTCTCCCCTGGGCCATCTCCCAGATGCATGTACGTTCCAAAATTGGCAAATCACTGTGTAAAATGGAAGGTCTGAGCTCTTGTTCAAACGTAAGTTCCCTCACATAGTTTAGCAGCTGCTCAGATAATTCTGTGAGAAAAGGAAAACAAGAGCACAGAGGACCAAGCAGATAGTCTGGGCGGAAGGGGCGTGGTCAAAGACAGGTTGTTCCTTGCTTTGTGATTGTCACCAGCTACCTTTGACCCCAAACCCCATGTGATGGCACCACTTCCTGTCCCGGCCTACTTCCCCCTCTTAACTACAACATCAGGCAAAATAATTCCTCAAAAATCTTGCAAAAAGGGTGGGGGGGAAAGGTCTCAAAATCAGCGAGCACACAAAAAGCTGATGACATTTTAGGAGAGGAAGCAGCTGGTGAACATCTGCTAGGACAAAGAATATCCAATTCAAATGTGTCAACAGAGTTCACTCCAAACAGACTACGGTTCTGATTTAGGAGAATAAATGCCATAATATGTACATTCTCTTCAGTGCATTAGTTTGTTTAAAAAAAAAAAAAAAGGTAATCAACAAGAATTTCTCTTTTTTTTTAAGGATTTTATTTATTCGTTTATTGGACAAAGAGAGAGAGAGAGAAAGAGAGCGAGAGAGGGAACATAAGCAGGGGGAGTGGGAGGGAGAAGCGGGCTTCCCGCTGAGCAGGGAGACCCATGTGGGGCTCGATCTCAGGACCCCAGATCATGACCTGAGCTGAAGGCAGACGCTTAACGACTGAGCCACCCAGATGCCCCTCAACAAGAATTTCTTACGTGAGGACTATGCACATGGTGTTCTCAAAGTTTAATACAAGACAAACCTTTGAATACAGAAGACCAACTTATCAGCTGTGTGGCCTGTAGCAAGTTACTTTACCTCTCTGAGCCTTAGTTTCTCAATAAAATATAGGTCAGAGGAGAACCATTTCATGGACTGTCACATGCTATTGTACAAGTACCAAGCAGAGTATCTGTGTAGTCCATCATGAACACTTCATAAGTGACAGCTGGCACAGTTAAGAGGGCGAACGGAGGTCACGTGACCCCTGGTGTCAGGGACACATGCTTTGGAGTCAGACTTGCTGAAATCTTGACTCTACCACTTAACTTAGGAGTAGAGCTCTGAGATTGCATACTTCTCACCTGTGAAACGGGGATAAAATCACAGGCCCTAGGTGCCCAGGGTTACGGTGAGCACTGTGGGAGGCAGCTGAGACAACGTGCTTGTGAAAATGCCCACCCCACAGTCCTCACTCCCACACATGAGCCACCATGAGCAGGAGCCGCACAAAGTTACCATCACCGAACTCCTCCCTCCAGGAGCTTTATTTTTAGCCAGGAGACAAGGTCTCCCCATGTGATCCGGGGAACCAGCGGGACATAATTCAGTGCCAGATGAGTAATACAAGCAGCCTGCGTCTGAGGATTTCGGACAGAAGAGAGCAGTAAAGGCCAGAGCAATCACTCTGACAGCTGACTTCGCTGTAAACTCCAGCCTCACCTCCCCACTTGGAAGCCCTCTGCTTTCTCCCTTTGCAGTACCATATGGGGACTCTGGCTTCTGGTATGGATAACGATTACTCTATTTCAGCAAACAGTTTCATCTCCGAATGCCCAGAAAAGCTCTGGTCAGCTGTGGACCTGGGCACTCCCTCTGGGGTTACAGCCTGTCAACACTGGCTTATTTTAATGTATTTTGAAACTCCCACGGTGAGCTGAAACAACTGGACCGAGGAAGCTGTCCACGTGCGAGATGCGGGGCTCCTTTAAAAGCCAATATAAAACCCTTGGTCTTGAACTTCTACAACTCCAGTGCAGCCGGGGCCCAGGGCCACTGGCATGCCCGTGATCAGCACAGCCCCTGTGGTCTTGAGGCACCACTTTATGGAAACTACACTCCTCGGGGACCACGGTATTGAAATCTGGGCAAACTTTTCGGGTTGAATCAACAAAACCCCACTTGGTTAGTCATTCAGATGAAGCGTTGCGGGCCCGAGGGTGTGACCGCTACTGTAAAGTGGAACGATGAGACTGATGCCGTGAGGTCCCACCGTATCCTGTTACGTATCCTATCCCAGGTGCCCATGGGGACCTCTAATCAGTACGTTTTGTACTCGATTCCCAACGGCGCAAATTTACAGAATCCAGCAACGGCGGACTACCCAAATTTGACGACTCTAGTTGCCACAAACTCCAAGACCAGAGAACGGCCACACTAGAGCCTTGAAGAATCTACCGGATTGGACCCCAGCCTCCTGCTTACACGTCTTTCCCTACTCGATTTCGGCCTCGCCAGTCTTTCTGTTTCTCACGCATGCCAAGCTCGTTCGTGCACATGGCTAGCCCCTGCTTGTCACTCTGGTCTTATCTCAAACGTCGTCACTTTGGATGATCATGTTCCCTCAGGCCCTCCCATCATGCTACTACATGACCCATCTGACTTTCTTCATAGCATTCATACCCTGAAATTAGCTTGCTCATTTATACACTTATTTCCTAGTAGGTAGGCTTCACGGGAAAAACAGACCTTTTCATCAGGGTCACATGCACACAAAATAGTGCCTGGCATGTAGCAAATATGTAATGAAAAGCTGTTCAGCAAATGAACTGATAAACGGCTTGAATCTTACAGCCAATGCTCTTCCCATAGACCCTCAGACCTTCCACCGCGCCCTATTCCAGACGAGAAATTTCATCATCACATCGTCATCATCGGGTGACATATCTAAGAGCTACATTTCACGATGTCTCCGTTTACTACCCTGGCAGAAATTCAAGTGAAAGAATAATGCCCCCAATAAAATCAACTAGCTAGGAAAAACTTACGTAGAAAATATCATTCGTCTCGGTTTGGCTGTTATTGACTTCTACTTGATAAGATAAGCATCTGCTGTAAAAATTCTGTGGATTCTTCCACTGCACATACAAGTTACCATTTTGGAAGAACAGACGTTTAATATGTGGGGGATCAGGTTTCACTGAAAGACAGAAACGGAAGAACACAAATTAGCGCCCAGAATATTTTTGATGAGGTTCATGTATGTGTGGAGATAATGAAGGTCACCATAAATAAGCTTATTTTAAATTGTCTTATAAAGTGGATCCAAAGAACATCTTTGGGGTGTCTGGCAGATGACGTGAACTCTGACCTGCAACCATCCGGTTAGAACACGGCTGGGGTATCATCAGGACGTCCAGCTGTGACACAGAGAATAAAGAAAAGCAGCACTTGGGGCCAGATGTGCATCTACCTAATGGATCATGAGGGGCCCCAGGGGTTTCCCCAGCTGCCACTCACTTGTATCAATCCAAGACCACAATTAAAACATTAGTCTAGTCTCTGTCATGTACTGCAACATGGACAAACCTTGAAGACATTATACTACGTGAAATAAGCCCATCACAAAAGGGAAAACACTGCAGGATTCCACCCATGAGGTATCTAAAGTGGTCAGAATCATAGAAGCAGAAAAGAGAAAGCTGCTTACCAAGGGCTCGGGGAGGGGAAATTAGTGTTTCGGGGGCATTGAGTTTCAGTTTTAAAAGATGAGAACGTTCTAGAGATCTGCCGCACAACAATGTGAATAGACTTCACATTACTGAACTGTACACTTAGAAACAGTTACAAAGGGAGTTACCACGACCTCACTCCCCTGGCTTTCGGTCCACACTTAGAAGTCACCTGCGTGACTGTCTGAAGGCGTGGTGCATAGCGCTCTGCTCCCAGACTTGGGAACCTTTGTCAATTCATGGTTATGTGCCCATGAATTTTCTGTATACTTAACCAGAATCTGCGCTCCCTGGTGGGATCTTACAACAAATAAATAAACCCGACGCTTACAGTAGTAGCCTGCTTTAGAGATTTACAAAATACTTACATATCTCACATCATTTGGGACTTTGGACAGTCCTTTGAGGTCAGGAGGGACTATGGACCCTGTTTTACAGATGAGGAAACACTTAAAGAGAGTTTATATGCTTTTTCCAAAACGAAGTTCTAGGAGCTCAAGCAGATACTGTGTTTTCAAGTTGAGGCCTTTTTCTAAAAGGCCAAGACTCGGCTGCGTTGGCCGTTCTAAGCAGTCGGGGCCTATGCCACCCCGCACGTTAGCTAGTTTGAATATCACTTCTGATCGCTCCTTCTCCAGTCAAAGCCCTTTTTCAACTAAGAGAAAGATTATTCAGAAATCATATTTCATTTTATTCTGCAGCATCATCCTCTCGAGTATCATCAGTAAAAGAAAACAGAACTTAAGAGTCAAAGAGCCCAGCTCCAGTCTTGGTTCTACAAATGACTGCGCGTTTAAAGTCTTAGCACACTCAGAACCAAACAAGAGCAAAGCATGTGGCATATATACTCAATAATATTAGAATTTCCAAGGCTGCCACTTAAAAAAAAATCAAATAAAGATATACATAAATACAGTCCTTTTTTCTGGGAAAATCTTAAAACCAAAATCATTCCTTTTTTATTCTCTATACAGACTGTTCGAAAGATATAACACTTTTACCCACACTGTTATACAGGGCTTCTAAAACTTACCATGAGAAGTTAAAGGCACTATATTGAAGGATGGTCTAATTTTTCCTGCATTATCCTTGACCACTATTTGGACACTGTGTTGCTCAAAACTGGAATCCTTCAAATTAGTCAGAGCAAAGGAACAACCGATGTGTTGATCTTCCCTATAGATGTCTTCACACTGAAGAATTTTTCCCAGGCTGCTATGCCTGCAAGATATAATGAGACAACCTTCTGGATTATTTTTAACAAGGTGTTCAGGAAACAAAGGCAGACATTTGTTTTCTTTTAAACAGCTGAAGAGGACCGTGAAAGGCAACATTTGCAATACAGAAAGATAGCTCTTCTTAAAACCCTCTTTTATAACGTGGCTCCATTTCACACCCTAGCAAGAAACAAATGCTCCTTTATGATGAACACTGGTACTTTCTTCTTCTTCTTTTTTTTTTTTAAGTAATCTCTACACCCAATGTGGGACTCAAACTCAAGACCCTGAGATCAAGAGTCACCCAAGCCACATGCCCAAACACTTGTTCATTTGTTCGTTCGTTCTTTTTTTTTCCTTTTTCTTTTTTTTCAAGATTTTGTTCATTTGTCAGAGGTGCTTTGTCAGAGGAAGAGACAGAGAAAGCACAAGTAGGGGGAGCAGCAGGCAGATGGAGAAGCAGGCTCCCTGCTCTAATGTGGGATTCGATCCCAGGACCTGGAGATCATGATCTGAGCCAAAGGCAGATGCTTAAACGACTGAGCCACCCAGGTACCCTAACACTGGTACTTAGTTTTTTTAAATATATATTTTATTTATTTATTTATTTGATAGAGAGAGAGTGAGAGAGAGCAAGAGCGAGGAGAAGGTCAGAGGGAGAAGCAGACTCCCCGTGGAGCTGGGAACCCGATGCGGGAGTTGATCCCGGGACTCCAGGATCACGACCTGAGCTGAAGGCTGTCGCTTAACCAACTGAGCCACCCAGGCGCCCCAACACTGGTACTTTCAATAGCTGTGAAAATTCCAGGAGCCCTGACTCCTTTTCATCTTCTGTATAAGAGACCTTAAGAGGCCAGCATGAGAAGTTTTAGGCTTCTTGAAAAGGCCTCTCATCTGCTGAATTCCATGGTTCTCCTCTGGCCCTTCTGCCTGCCTTGCTTTCGTGGCTTCTCTTCCTTTTCCCTTTTCGAGGGTTCACATTTGGTCCTCCGCCCTCTGCAGATTCCTCGCTGCTGCTTACTCCCTCATCCATTCTCCCCCAGTTTATCATGTCTGTCCCTCGACTAGAATTTCTACACTGGGGGTTCCTTGGTGCTAGTCCCAGATTTCTAACGGTTTCATTTCAGTGTTCCACTCTGGCCTCAAAGTCAATGTCCTTATGCCCTCTCTTCCTAGCCAAACTGCCTATCTTCTGACCTTCCCCATTCCCATCAGTCAGAGCGCATTTTCTCTGGACTCCTTGATTACGTCCTTTGAAATTACCCTTTCCCCCTTCCTTTCTCTGTATTCTCTCACCCCATTCTGTTACTTCCTTCCTTCACAAAGCGTCTTGGATTCTCTCCCGAGACATTCCTGGAACCCTTACAGTGTTGTGTGCCCTCACCACTTCAGTCTTCACATCCTCTCTGGAAGGACCTCGCTGACCTTCGTTATCAAACTATCTATCCTCTAACCCCTGCCAGATCAATGTTCCAGAACATAGTGGTTTTCTATGTGTCTTACTCCACCGCGTGGCTTTAACTGCTTTCCATCCGCAGCACTGCTGGGATCTGCTGTCCCAACCCAAACCTCTACGCACCCCTCTCCCCAAGGAGCATCGGCACCCAGTGCAGGGCAGGCCGACAGAAGGGGCTAATGACACTCTTCTGGCTAGGGTCTCAACGGCTTCTGTCTCGTAGTAGCTGGAAGAAGCCAGAGTCAAGCCCTACCTCAGCCGTAATGGGAGGTGTGCCAATGTTCTACAGAAAAGGAAGGCAACTTTAAACTTTAAATGAACTAACAGGAATGAGTCGCAAACCCTTAACTTTTTACCTCCAGTCATCTGTCACTGTATAGAATGCAGACTCCTCAAGCCCTCTCCTGAGAACCCTACTCAGCGGGTTCTGCCAGGGCCTAGGTGCCAGCACTTTGACAGCGAATCTCTTCTGCACAGCGGGTACGCGCATAAACGAAGTCAGCTGATCTCTGCCTGGGGGGCAAGGACGGTCTCTTCGACAAATGGCGCGGGAACAACAGACAGGTGTCTAGAGGCAAAACAATGAATCTAGACACAGTCCTGACTCCATTCACGAAGCCAAATTCACAATGGGTCACAAACCTGAATGGAAAGTGCAAAACTATAGAACTCTTAGGATGTGACTTAGGGAGAAACCTAGATGAGCTGCAGCGTGGCGACAAGCTTTTTAGATACACAGAAGACCTGATCTAGAAAAGAAATAATCAGCTGGACTTCGTTCAAATTAAAAACTTCAGCACCTGCAAAAATTAGTAGTAAGAGAATAAGAAAGCAAACCACAGACTCAGAGGAAATATTTGCGAAAGACATGTCTGATAAAGGATTGCTACACAAAATACACAAAGAATCCTTAAAGCAGTAAGAAAACAGGCACCTCACCGAAGATAGACAGATGGCAAAGAAGCGTCTGAAAAGATGTTCCACATATGTCATCAGGGAAATGCAAATTAAAAACAACAAGATGCCACTACACACCTACTAGAATGGCCGAAGTCCAGAGCAGTGCCACCACCAAACCCAGGGAGGACAGGGAGCGAGCGACAGGAGTGCTCCTTTGCCACTGGTGGGAATGCAAAATGCTACAGCCCCTTTGGGGCAGAGTCTGGTAGTTTCTCACAAAACTACACATGCTCTTATCATACGACTGGCGATCCTGCTCCCTGGTATTTACCTAGAGGAGTTGAAAACTCCTGTCCACGCGAAACATGGCGCACAACTGTTCACAGCGGCTTTATTCATAATTGCCAAGACTCGGAAGCAACTAAGACGTCCTCCAGTAGGTGGACACACAAACTGGGGTGCCCCCAGACACAGGGATATTATTCAGCTTAAAAAAAAAAAAGAGGTCTCAAGCCAGGAAGCGACACGGAGGAAATGTAAACGCGTATTACTAAGTGAAATAAGCCAATCCGCAAAGGCTGCCTGCGGAGGGCCCGACCACAGCGCCCTCTGGGGACCTCAGGAAGCATCAGCAGCGGCAGGGCTTGCGGAGGGAAAGGTGACCAGGCAGAGGACAGAGGAGCTTTAGGGCGATGAAAATACTCTGTACGAGGTTAGAAGGACGGACACGTGTCATTATACGTTTGTCCAAACCCACAGGATAGACGACACCAAGATGGAGCCTGAAGGTAAAGTAAGGACTGCGAGTGGCTAGGATGTTATCAAGGCAGGCCCATTAGTTGTGACAAATATACCACCCTGGTGGGGGGGTGCGGATAATGGGGGAGGCCACGAACTGCGGGGGTAGAGGGTATATGCAAAATCTCTGTACCTTCCCCTCTGTTTTGTTGTAAACCTAAAAACTTCTCTACAAAAATAAAGTCTTCAAAAATAAACCCCGGGGGCGCCTGGGTGGCTCAGTGGGTTAAAGCCTCTGCCTTCAGCTCGTCATGATCCCAGGGTCCTGGGATCAAGCCCCACATCCGGCTCTCTGCTCAGCGGGGAGCCTGCTTCCCCCTCTCTCTCTCTGTCTGCCTCTCTGCCTAATTGTGATCTCTCTTTGTCAAATAAATAAATAAAATCTTTAAAAAAAAACCAACAACAAAACAAACAAAAAAACAAACCCCCAAACTCAGATCTAATGTACTTACTCCTTCAAAGGCTATGAAAAGAAATATTTAAATACAGAAAATACAGGGTGCCTGGGTGGCTCAGCTGGTGAAGCATCTGCCTTCAGCTCAGTTCATGACCCCAGGGTCCTGGGATTGAGCCCCGCATTAGAGCAGGGAACCTGCTTGTCCCTCTGCCTGCCGCTCCCCCTGCTTGTGCTCTGTCTCTCAAATAAATAAATAAAATCTTTTTAAAAATACAGAAATGCTCTTGTCCCTTAAGAGATGGTACATCGAGTTTCTCTCCTAGTTGTAGGCCCCTGTGGTTCATGAATGAATACAGTCTTAGAAACTAAGTTAGTGCCATGGCTAGTTTTTAGATCAGACAGGCCTGGAATATTCTCCACCCACATCCAGAAACAGAAACTGAAGAAATTTATGATACTTTTGTTACATAACTTAAAAAAAATAACTAGGCAGAACATTAATTTTTTTCAACCAGTGAAAGGGACTTCTCTAATGGGCAATCATTAAGATTCCTTTTTCACTTCGGTACCTTGGGTGTTTCACATACTTTCATGGACCCCAGATAAGAAATTAAAAAAAAAATTTTTTGTTGTAATATGGACAAAATAACAAAAGAGGAAATATTGGGTTTTGAAAAGACAGATTTTGGGGACTTCTTGCAAAATACGAGATAACAAACCAGAACCAGAAGGCATTCAGGTGCTTCCTGTGAAGATTCAGACACTGAAATCCTCCACAGAATCACACTATAGACATAAGGAGGAAATGGCCAGATTTAAAGACAATTTCCCCATCTGAAGATGATTAATGTGGTAAGAAATTCCCTAAAATTCATTGGCAGAACTAGCCTGTAGTTCTGTTTTGTTTTTTTAAAAGATTTTATTATTTATTTAAGAGAGAGAATGAGACAGAGAGACAGAGAGCGAGAGTGAGAGCGAGCATGAGAAGAGGGAGGGTCAGAGGGAGAAGCAGACTGCCTACCAAGCAGGGAGCCCAATGCAGGACTTGATCCCAGGACTCCAGGATCATGACCTGAGCCGAAGGCAGTCGCTTAATCAACTAAGCCACCCAGGGGCCCTGTAGCTACTTTTTTTTTTTTATTTTATTTATGCTGAGAGAGATCACAAGCTGGGAAGAGAGGCAAAGGGAGAGAGGGAAAAGCAGACTCCCAGGTAAGCAGAGAGCTGGCTGCGGGGCTCCATCCCAAGACCCTGGGATCATAACCTGAGCTGAAGGCAGAGGCTTAACGACTGAGCCACCCAGGTGCCCCTAGTCTGGAGCTATTACGGTCAGGCTCCTTTCAATGTCATACTAGCCCTGTAGAACCACAAGTCATTGCCCTGGGACTTCAAAGTGACTCCAGTTTCTAACTGGGACACAGTCTCTGGCAGTTCGTTTGACGGGATTTAAACTGGTACCCAAACCTAAACCAGTTCCCAGTGCTTGATAATGAACGAGTCAAGCACCTGCCTTTCTTTTGTGGTTTTGATTGGAAAGGATCTCTCTAGGGGAGGCAGGGGTAGAGGAGGTAAGGACAAGCTGCTAATTCTTCCAAGTGGGGGAAGAAGCCACCAATGCGTACTGGCTGCATCTGCAAGGCAGTGGGGATGAATTAAAACAAAACAAAACAAAACAGCTCTCATGCACTGATTGCTTACTCTGTATGTGTTAGCAGCTGGCATAGCTCCGACCACTGTTCACCCAGTAACAGCCCTTACAACAACCTTAAGAGACAGCACTAACATCACTACGCCCATTTAACGAATAATCTGTTAACAGAAAAAGCTGCAGGGTGCTGAGGGCAGAAGACTATAGAATCTGTAACTAGCACCATCCGAGGAGATTTTCTGGGATTGCAGACCGTTTGCTATCCGTGCTGTCCAAGGCAGGAGCCACTAGCCATGCGTGAAGGGGACTAGTAAGACCGTGCAATCGAAGTCTGCATTTGACTTAAGTTTAATTAATTTGAATTTGTATGTGAGTCGTCACAGGGATGTCATGGCTTCCGTATTGGACAGCACAGGTCATACATGCTACAGAAAGAGTCCACGCTGATGACCGATGCTGGGAACACGCAGGACAAGCAGTGGTGTCCCCAACACCCACCCCCTGGGGCACCAGCGAACCACTCTCTTGTGACGGCTTCGTGAGCCACCTCCCACGGCTGCCAGTCATACCCACACTGAGGCATCATCTGAGGGCTGACAGCCAGCCCGAGCCCCATCTGCTCTCAGCTTTGGCAAGAGGCTGCATTGGCCCAGAGGAAGAGGGCTATTTCAACCCAGAGGAAAAAGAATTCTTGTTCCAATTGGTGGGTCCAATATTTTAATAATTTACCCACCCAGAGGTGGCAGGTTTCGCAATTGGCACGAAGACTTGTTTTGTGCTAGTGCGTGCCTCAAGGTACCTCCCTGTCTTTGGCACAGACGAACTCCAAGGACAGGGCCAGTGCTCACCTCCAGCACCACCCTGACTCCTGCACGGGTGGCCATGGACTGAGGGACGGTTTTCCTGCTTTTCCTTCCTTCCCCTGCTCCTTGAGCAGACACAGACTCTAAAGGTTTTTCCCTATGATTTTACCAACAACAATCCAGGGAAAGCAAGAGGAGCTGACAGCATAATAAACACAGGGATGCTCCCAGCTTCTAAGACATCGTAAGAGCCTGTACTGACAGCTCTCCCCGACCTCATCAGAGCCAGGCTACTCCTTTTAAGGCTTAGTTCTCTGGCCCCTTCTCTAGCAATTCTTCGGGGGAGTCCAACTGACTCAGTCCTTCTCTCTTTCTACTCCTGGACCATAATGCTCCTGAGTTGCCAACCCCTCCTAAGTCCTCATGCTAATCCCGAATATTCTCTAAGCTCTGGATCCTACAGCGCATTTCAACCTTACTTCTGGAGCCCCTGCCATGTGTCAGGCGCCAAGGGTAACAAGACACAGCCTCTGCTCTCAAGGGAGATGGCAGCCTGGGGAGGGCCACCGCTGAGGAAACAGGAAGTGACGACACAATGTGCTGTGTACTATGACACAGGAATGTGCAAGGTACGCGGGACATGATGGTCCAGCATGCATCGAGATTTGAGAGATAAAGGAAGGCATTCTGGGAGGGAAGTGATGTCTGAGCTGAGACGAGGACAAAGCAGAGGTGTGCAGGTGAAAGGACGAGGTCTGTGCTGTGAGGGGACGTGGCATGCTGCCACCGTTCCACTGAAGCATCTGTAGGGCCTGTTTGAGGAACTGAAAGGCGCTGGGTGCGGGCTGGACGGTAAGATGCTGGAGGGTGGAGGAGCCTAGCAGGAGGAGGGGGAGGCTGGGGCTGGACCGGGCGGAAGGAGCCAGGTCAGAAAGGGCTTTTGTCCGTAGTGCTGAGGAGTTTGGACCTTATCCCAAAGCCACTGGGGAGCCACTGCGGGACTTTAATGAAAGGAGAAACAATTACCACAAGTGGACAAGTGAAACTACAAAACCTCAAATGAGAATTGTTTATCTTGGGGGAAAAAACAGCCCTGGAGACGGAACCACACACAGTCTCCGTGCTGGCGGGCCTCCCAGGCGGACTTGGTGGGGAGCACCCTGCACAGCAGGGGAGGAGAGTGGGTGCGAAGCCTCCAGGGCCCTGGCCAGCCGGTCCTGTGACTCTGGGATCCGCAGAGTGCTTTGAGACACCCAAAATACGTCTCTTCACGTCATCGGGCAAAATGGACATTCCAGGAGCCAAGGCCATGTTTATCCTCTAGTTTCGGAAGTCCTGCACATGGCCCTCTGCACCCCATTCTCTCAGAGGCAGTCTGAAGGAAGGACAGAAGGAGGGTCAAGGCCATGTGGAAAGCGCACTGCCGACGCAAGCTCTCCCGCTTCTCCAGCCTGGTATCACATGCCCCTTCCTCAGCGCTCTTCCCCAGCGCCCGCGCTCGGGGAACCCGTGTGTGCAGCCCACCCCCTTCATCCAAGCCCCCCAGCTGCGCCCTGCTACCACCGCCACACCCCCAAGCTCCACCTAGCTTCTAAAGAGAGTTTGTGCCTCTGCTTGCCATCATACACTGTTATTTTTATACAGATAACTGTTGGATGTGGTCTCTCCCCGTCTACGTTTGAAACTTTATGAGCAAAGAGCCATGTCTCATAGCTCTGCTTCCTATTCAGTGCTTTACCCGCAATGTGTGCCAAATAAAATCTCACTGAATTGAACTGATTAACCTGGTCCTTCCTTCCTTGTTCTGTGGCTAATAACTCCAGGCTTGAAACGAAAGGAAATGCTTGAAGATTAATTTAGAAATTTAACAAAATTTGTGGATATGCACACTGACCTCAGATACGTTATAATGTGGGGCGCTAACCTACTTTTTTTTAAATAGTTGTTTTCTCATCAGTTCATTAATTTTTTTTAATCAATGTAGAGTTGACATACAATGTTATATTCATTTCAGGTGGGATGATACCATTTTCCTTTTTTAAAGGTAGATACCAATCACTCATACATTGCTGGTGGGAATATAAAATGGCACAGTCACGCTAGAAAATCGTTTGGCAGTTTTCTATAACACAAAATATGCAATTACCATGTGACCCAGCAATTGTACTCTTGGGCATTTCTTCCAGAGATATGAAAAGTTATGCTCACATAAAAACCTGCACATGAGTATTTACAGCAGCTTTATTCATAGCTGCAAACAATTAGAAAGAACCAGGATATCCCTCAATGAATAAATGTTTAAACAAACTGGCACTTCCATACCATGGAACAAAAAAAAAAAGGAAGAGATGAAGTACTGATTCAACAACTTGGAGGGACCTCAAGGGTATTACGCACAGTTTAAAAAAAAGTCAGCCTCAAACAGTTACATGCTATGTCTACTCTAGTAACATTCTTGAAATGACAAAAATATAGAGATGGAGAACAGATTAGTAATTGCCAGAGGTTAGAGACTTGGAGGAGGGGAAGGTGGAGGGGGTTCCAGAAGGGAGGAGGGTATGGGCATAAAATAGCAATTCAGGGGATCCTTGTGGTAAGGGAACTATCCTATATTTACACATGTGATACAATTACGCAGAACTACACACGCGCATACACATATCATACACACACACGAATGCATGTGACACTGGTGAAATCTGAGTAAGGTGGGTGGACTGGAACCACAGCAACTTTCTGGTTTTGATATCGCCTTCTAGTTATAGGCCATGTTACCTCTGAGAGAACCTGCATGAAGGGTACTCTGGGGTCTCCCGGTACATTTTTTGCAACATCCTGTGGATCTACACTTACACATTTTTTAAAAGGTATTTTTAGAGAGTAGACACCAAAAGCAGATGCACGTTCCACTGAAGCAAACTGCCCATCTTCTTGGGTTTGTAAAAAGAAGATGTGGTATATATACACAATGGAATACCACTCGGCCATAAAAAAATGAGCTCTTGCCATTTGCATCAACATGGATGGACCTAGAGGGTATTGTGCTAAGTGAAATAAGGCAGAGAAAGACAAATACCACAGGATTTCACTTCTATGTGGAATCTAAAAAACAAACACACTCTTAAATACAGAGAACAAACTGGTGGTTGCCAGAGGGGAGGGGGGTGGAAGGCAGGTGAAACAGACAAAGGGAATTAAAAGGCACAAACTTCCAGGTATAAAATAAATAAGTCAGGGAGATGAAAAGCACAGCATAGGCAATAGAGTCAGTAATATTGTAATAACATGGTATGGTGACAGGTGACAACTGTACTGAGCCCTGAGTAATGGAAAGAATTGTTGAATCACTATGTCGTATACCTGAAACTAACATATATTGTATGTCAATTTATACCTCAATTAAAAATAATGATAAATAGGGGCATCTGGGTGGCTCAGTTTGGTTAAGCATCCGACTCTTGGTTTTGGCTCAGCTCATGATCTCGAGGTAGTGAGATCGAGCCCCGAGTCGGGCTCCATGCTCAGCGGGGAGTCTACTGGAGATTGTCTCTCTCCCTCTGCCGCCCCTCCCTGCCCCTGCCCCCATGTGTTTGTGCTCTCAATCTCAAAATGAGTAAAGAAAATCTTAGAAACAAAAACAAAAACAAAAAACAATAAAGCCCCCAAAACCAGGCTGTTCTTTTCTCGGTTTCGGTTTTCAAGTAGGTTGGATCGCAGGGTGCCCCAAACCATCATGACCCGTCCTTTCCCCGCACGTCTCCCGCACACACTCACCAGTAGTAGAGGGTATAGTTGGTGTCGGGACTTGCATTCTTCCCAGGGAGCCAAGTACACTTCATGTAGCTCAGGTTGTGCCAGACGCATTGTAGCTCAGTCACAGCGGACTCGGGATCACCTAGAAAACCCAGCCAAGGATTTAGGATGCTTCTTGCCCTGTCAGACCAACCCGCCAAACCCTCTGGGGCACGAGGGATGGTGAGAGTGCTTTTCTAGAAAGCCAAAGCCTGATCTCTCACCCCATTTTACCCAGAAGGCACCCATGATGGGGCACCTGGGTGGCTCAGTGGGTTAAGCCTCTGCCTTCAGCTCTGGTCATGATCTCAGGGTCCCGGGATCGAGCCCTACATCGGGCTCTCTGCTCAGCGGGGAGCCTGCTTCCCCCTCTCTCTACCTGCCTCTCTGCCTACTTGTGATCTCTCTATCAGATAAATAAAGAGGCGCCTGGGTGGCTCAGTGGGTTAAGCCTCTGCCTTCAGCTCAGGCCATGATCGAGCCCCACATCTGGCTCTCTGCTCAGCAGGGAGCCTGCTTCCTCCTCTCTCTCTCTCTCTCTCTCTGCCTGCCTCTCTGCCTACTTGTGATCTCTGTCTGTCAAATAAATAAATAAAAATCTTTAAAAATAAATAAATAAATAAAAATCTTACCAAAAAAAGAGGCACCCAGGATGGAGAAAACCCAAACCTAACTTGTTATAATTTTCTTTCTCACCTCCAGATCCCAAAAAAATATCTTTTCTATCACTGAGGGACCCTAACTTTGTATTCCTAACTGGAAAGAGCGTTTCAAGGTCAAATCATATTTCCATGGCAGGAAACGAGTACGGCATTCCTACATGAATGTGGAAACACAAGCAACCCATATCTCTACCCGTCTTTAAAGAAAACAAGTCTACTGAGATAAAATTTACCTTCCTGTCTTTTGACGATACTAACACAGCTTGTTTTAAAAGACAAAGCATTCCTCCTGAAGCAATCTGGGGGGAAGTGAGCATTAATATAACTCCTGGTAGCTGTTGACTGTGTGGTAGGACTTTAGGAGCTGTATAATCGTTATCATCTGAAGTCTCTACTGTTATAAAGCCTTCTGAGTTAAGGCATCACGTTGGGATTCAGGAAGGGGTATTGTCCAGAGACATCCTCAACCATTTTACTGTTGTACTACAAGTTAGGCTTTTCAGATTATTTATTAAACTTCTAAAGAAATGAGAGGAGGGGAGGTAAGTTGTTTTAAAACAGGCTCCCAGCCTCGTGGCAACACTGAATTCTATAATTTTACAAACGAGACTTCATATACTTTTGATCTGTGCAACGCAGGTAGAGGGAAGGGCCTGGAGAACAGGCCACATAGTGCTGAGGTTTGGAACTGGGAGAGATGGGACCCCTCCAAACACGGGGTGAACTGGGATTCATAGATGAGATGTACCCAGCATTTACTCTTAGCCGGGTGCTATTCTAAGTACCTCACACGTACTGACTTCCGTAATCCTTTCAATAGTCCTGGGAGGCAGGAACTATCATCAACCCCATTTTACAGATGAGGAAAGTGAAGTGGGTAAGGGCTAAGTCATCTGCTAAATGTCACGCAGCTGTTCACTGGCAGAGCTGAGACTCTAGGACATCTGGGCTCCAGGAGCCCTGCCCTTCACCAGGATAAGCTCCTCCCTGCAAGCAGCCCAAGTGCCAGAAGGAACTAGGTGTCAGGCGGGAAGAGGCGGGGCAATGAAATGACTAACCTGACCATGTGAAAGCTTTCCCCGAGGCTTGTCCTGAACTGGAGCTAGGCTAGCAATCCCATTTTCCTTTTAAATCATCTTTCTCCAACTATATCTTGCATATCAAGCTAATCTTTCTATCAAATGAGGAAGACAGTACTTTGGGTTTCTTTAAGGCACTGGACCTGTAATCTGAAAGCTTAGAGCAACCCACTTGGTTCCCTTCTTCCTCATGAAATGGATCAGGGTGATAATCCATGCCTTGCTCGATTCACAAGATAAGCTTCCGAGGCTCAACTTAGGGGAGGGTGTATATGTGTGTATATTACATGCCAAATTATAACATGCTATAGAACTCTGAGGCACAGTTATTCAAGTCCTGAGCACCTCGAAGGCAGGGACGTCCTCGTATTTATCACCTAATATACACGTGCCTAGAACTAATCAGACTCAGCAAATATTTGAAAACTGAAGGAATTAACGAACACTGAACATAAACACATGGATAATTTGCCTTTATCCCCCAAAGTACCAACAAACAGTGCTTTTGGTTGTTACCTTCCGGGGGCGGGGTGCACTTCTCCACCAAAATGCTAGGATTGTCACTTTCACTGGTGCTGCACTGGGACCCCACTTGCAGACAAATCCTCTCGTTCAGGGGTACTTCTTTGGAACGATGGGTTTCAGGAGCAATTTTCTAAGGTTAGGAAATTGTAAAAAGGCATTGCTCTAGCAAACATACAGCAATACACGTAGGTAATAAAACATCAGCATGTTCAAATGTGTTTTAAAAAAGAAAAAAAGGAAGATTATCAGATGGCATAGGTCAGTGACTATCAACCCACGGTGATTTTGCTCTCCCCGCTCCCCCCATCCTGGGGAACATGCTGGGTTGTCACAACTTAGGAGGGCACTGCCACTGGCCTGTAGTACGTAGAGGCCAAGGATGCTGCTGAACATGGCTCGGTGCCCAGGACAGCTTTGCCTCCCCCCACAGCAAAGAATCATCTCGCGCCAAATGTCAGTGGTACCACCGTTGAGAAACCCCAGGAGAGAGAAAAGACAAATTCCCACATTTTAAATGTATAAACATCATGACATTTGCCTATAAACCTACCATGCTCACGCATCAACTGTCTAAAATTTTAAAGGTAACACAATAAGATTATCAAAACTCAATTCCTAGGGGTGCCTGGCTGGCGCAGTCAGTTAAGCGTCCAGCTCTTGGTTTCGGCTCAGGTTGTGATCTTAGGGTCATGAGATCGAGCCTGGAATTGGGCTCTGAGCTCAGCACAGAGCCTGCTTGGGTTTCTCTCTACCTCTCCCTTTGCCCATCCTTCCTACGCTCCCTCTCTCTCTCTAAAAATGAATAAATAAATCTTTTTAAAAAAATTCACTTCCTAACTAGATGCAGTATATTATCAAGATCAAGGTACAAATTGCTTTGAGAATCCAGTAATCTTGGGGCACCTGGGTGGCTCAGCGGGTTAAAGCCTCTGCCTTCGGCTCAGGTCATGATCCCAGGGTCCTGGGATAGAGCCCCACATCGCCCCACATCGCCCCACATCACCCCACATCGCCCCACATCGCCCCATATCGCCCCACATCGGGCTCTCTGCTCAGCAGGGAGCCTGCTTCCTCCTCTCTCTGACTGCCTCTCTGCCTACTTGTAATCTCTGTCAAATAAATAAATAAAATCTTAAAAAAAAAAAAACAAAAGGAAATGAGAAGGGTTAGAAAAATTAAAAAAAAAAATCCAGTAATCCTGGTCACCTGTGAGGACAGAAAGGAAAGGAGGGCCTGAGGGACCAAAGAGAGAGATTTCATTAAACATCTTTCTGTACCGTTTGACCCTTCTGACTCCCTCGCACAAGCATAGAGATTTCAAGGGATGCTACATGCACTGAGTATACCACACCCTTATTCTGTAAAATAGATGGGCTTGTGGTGCTACAGAAAGCGGACTTCTAGAGAGCATACAGATGTAAATCACAAATCTGGGCATTACAATTCAGAATAATGAGATTAGAGGGCCGTTAAGGAAATTAACATCTCCCAAGCTGAAAAGAGTGGGAATTATTAAGAATGAAGCTGCTTTTAATCAGAGCTCCAAGGAGCTTCCTGTTTTGCAATGGTTTCTGACTCAAGTTGGAGGCAGCATTTCCTTTTAGATACGTGCTGATGGCCTTGAAGTGGAAAATTCGTCAAATTTACTTCTATCTGCCCCCCTAAGGAGCTACTCGGCCATTTCCCACGCCTGCGGCCAGCTGAGCATGAAGGCAGCTGTGACAACCCCCAAACCCAAGAAGTAAGGGTGCCCTCGGACAGACAGCTAGCAGACCAACAATTAATGAATCATAACAAAGACACACAAAAAAATCAAATTAGAGAAACTGAACAGCTCTTAGGCCCAAGCAAGACAGCACTCTGAAAAGGGAGCCAGCTGGTCAGCCCTGAAGAAAAGACAAAGAAAGGTATGTACGTGAGCAGACTCCTGGCAAGGAGTGAAGAGGAGGATTTGGCCCCACGGACACTGAGTTACTTCTGTCCCGGCAAAGACGTGCCCACCTTCAGTGAGACCTCTAGCTACTCTTAGCCAAGTGCATTTTCACAACTAATTTCTGATTCCTTCACAGGAAACCTACTTATCGTTTGGCTTTCTACATAGTTGCTGCCTACAGGGAAGGAACACACCAGTTATGCCAACAGAAAACTTTCTAAAATGTTTTTTCACTGTGATCGTTCTCATGCCAGATTAAGGAATTGGCCGTTGAGAGATGAATGTGTGCTGGGGAAATGAGGGTTCTCAGCCTGTGAAAGCGAAGACCAGCCCCAGGATCACGGTAACGGTGGCACGAAAGTTCCAAGTGCAAATTTCACCAAGATCACAATTTTACCAAGCCTGAGTCCTATATACCTCGAAAGGAGCCACCCTGACTCAAAGATCCTCGATAATTCCTGTTTGGAAGATAATTCCTGTCTGTCCTTTGAATAAACCAGGCGGAACATGTATGGTTAAATGCCATAAATCAGAATCATCATGGGAAAAACCCCAGTTCTCTTAGTATATTAGATATTGTTCCAGTGAGAAGGCTGAGGAATTTTATTAAGCAAAGATTTTTATTATAATCGAATTTTTTAAGTTAAAAAAATACTTAAGTACTTAATCTGAACCTTGCCCTTGAGGGCATATAAATAACAACTCAGGAAAGAGACCAGAGGGAGAAAAACAAAGTAATTTTTAAAAATCTCTTTCAGGGGCGCCTGGGTGGCTGAGTTGGTTAAGTGTCTGCCTTCGGCTCAGGTCATGATCTTAGAGTCCTGGGATGGAGCCTCGCATTAGGCTCCCTGCTCAGCGGGGAGCCTGCTTCTCCCTCTCCCTTTGCCACTCCCCTTGCTTGTGCTCTCTTTCTCTCTCTCAAATAAATAAAAATCTTAAAAAAAATCTCTTTCAAAGTTTAAGGTAAATAATATTAAGTTGGCATGAAAAAAGAAGAAACCCCAGTTGTCAATGATCACCAAGGGTAGCACATCTCTATCAGACAAGAAACTAAATCCCTCCCCTCGGATCCCAAGGAGGTTGTGTGGAGGCTCCCACGTGACTTTCGGAGGCGGTGACTCACTCCCCTGGTAGCTGCTGTAGGACAACATTCCACTCCACCCCTTGGGGAATCTGGGCTTATTTGAAAATTTATCAAAAACCAAGGCCAGCGTCCTGAACTGGACCCTCCCCTCAGGACCAATGTGCATTTGGCTGGATCACACCTTTCCCAATTCCAGATTCCTTTCTCAGTAGAAAAAGAGCTTGGGCCTCAGCTTCTGCCCCTCTGGATGCCTTTGTAATTTATTCACCTAGTGAGACTCGCTATCTCTGGGTGATGAAAGAGATCTAATCTGACGCCAAAGCACATAAATCAACATTCTTTTAACAACAGCAAACGAGAAAACAAAAACAAAAACAAAACTTGAGGCCAGATCCTCCTTCTACTTGCCAGATTGGGAAACTAGTAGATACTGCTAAAACAATGGTGGAGGGCAGCCACTTAAAACTGAGCTTGTATTCTTAGAAAAATCATCTGGGAAGCCCCAGCTCCTGTGTTAATGATCCTCCAGTCTGAAGACTGAAAACAACCTCAAGGGTTTATCTCACTTAGCAACTCAGGATCTTTAGACAGTCACCTAAGCCCCCCAACATTACAAATTATGCCAAACCCGCTCCTTCAATATGCTTCAAAGGGCATATGCGCCCCAGTTCTGTCTGACGATGCTAATGCTTTGTCTGAAGGATGGAGAGGGGAGAGGGAGATCACTCCTGCCGTTCACTGCCAGCCTCAGGGTTACAAACTTCAAAAGGTTGGCCAGGAAATCTCCCATCACTGCTTACAAGGGATAATCCATGTTCACCAGGAGGGCAGCAGCCATCAACACCGTCACATGGCTGGAATATAAAGGAGCAGGCCTTAGGCAGAGGTCACCCTTTGTGGTCTCCATCTGGTCTCTTCAGTGGCAAAATGGAAGGTAATATTAGGTTGAACCATATGACCTAAAGAATCAACAATTTCATGTGATTCAACCTAACAATAATAATAATAGTAAAAGCTGACGGTGATTGAATGTTGACGTGGTGTCAGGTGCATTACGAACACCATCTCCTTGAACACATGCACCACATGCACCATTCACACGAAGTAGGTCCTACCCCAGCATTTCACAAACAAGGAAATGAAGGCTCAGAGAGGTTAAGTGACTTGCTCAGGGTCACACACCTCCGAAAGGGGAAGAGACAAATGTTCAAACCCAATGCTGTCTAATTCCATTGCCTCCTAAAGTCACTTTCAACTCTAAATGTCTGTGTCTACACTGCAGAATGAGCCCTGTTTCTAGGCTAGACCACCACCATGTCTCCCCGATCGATCCTCAGGTGTGTACAGCTGGCTAGTGAATATGGACCTGTTAGGAAACAAAGGTGACCTCTCCTGAGTTTCAACGAGATACTTAGGAAAAGCACTTAAAGGTCTTTCCTGGAATTTCTCAAGGCTGAACTAGGAAAGTTGCCACCAAGAATCCAAATGCCTACAGCCCCTCTTTAGGAATAAGAGGAAGCCAACAGTTTAAAAAGGGGAACTCAACTCCTGAAAGTATTACAGTCTTCTGCACTGAGAGCATCTCTTTTCTTGTTTGTTTGCTTTTTTTGTTTTTAAGATCTTATTTACTTCTTTGACAGAGAGAGGGAGAGAGATCACAAGTAGGCAGAGGGGTGGGGGAAGCGGGCTCCCTGCTGAGCAGACAGCCCAACTCGGGACTCCATCCCAGGACCCTGAGATCATGACCTGAGCCAAAGGCAGAGGCTTTAACCCACTGAGCCACCCAGGCGCCCGTTTGCTTTTTTTTTAATTGAAGTATAGTTGACCAATAACGTGATAGTCATTTCCAGTGTACAACATAGTGATTCCACATTTACATACCTTACTCAGTGATCCCCACATTAAGTCTAGTTACCATCTGTCACCACACAGTTATTACGAAATTGGCTATATTCCCTATGCTGTACTTTTCATCTCCATGACTTAAAATTTATTTTAAAACTGAAAGTCTGTATGCCTTAATTCCCTTCACCTACTTCACCCATTCCCCCCCATCCCCGGCAACCATCAGTTTGTTCTCCGTATCTATGAATCTGTTTCTGTTTGATTTTGTTGGTTTCTTTTATTTTTTTGACTCCACAAGAGTGCAATCATATGGTATTTGTCTCTGGTTCCAACCACGGTGTCGCAAGTGGCCACATTTCGTTCTTTTTTGTAGCTGAGTAATATTATATATCTATACATATATCTCCCACAACTTCTTTATCCATTCATCTATCAATGGACACTTAGATTGTTGCTTCTATCCCTTAGCTATTACAAATCGGCCACTGGGGGCGCCTGGGTGGCTCAGAGGGTTAAGCCTCTGCCTTTGGCTCGGGTCATGATCTCAGGGTCCTGGGATCGAGCCCTGCATCGGGCTCTCTGCTCAGCGGGGAGCCTGTTCCCCCCTCTCTCTCTGCCTGCCTCTCTGCCTACTTGTGATCTCTCTCTCTGTGTCAAATAAATAAATAAAATCTTAAAAAAAAAAAACCAAATCGGCCACTGTAAATGATGCTGCAATACACAAAGGGCTTCATGTATATTTTTGAATGAGTGTTTTCATTTTCTTCACATATATACCCAGAAGTGGAATTGCTAGATCTACGGCAGTTCTATTTTTAATTTTTTGAGGAACCTCCATTATTGTTTTCCATAGTGGCTATACCAATTTACATTCCCAACAATAGTGCAAGAGGGTTCCCTTGTCTCCACATCCTTGCCAACACTTAAGATTTCTTGTCCTTTTTTTTTTTTAAGATTTTGTTATTAAATAATCTCTACAGCCAATGTGGGGCTCAACCCCGAGATCAAGAGTTGCATGCGCCACTGACTGAGCCAGCCAGATGCCCTGATATTTCTCGTCTTTTTGATACTAGCCATCCTGACCTAGTAGATACTGCTAGGTGATTTGTCTAATTGTGGTTTTGATTTGTATTTCCCCAACGGTGAGTGATATTAAGCATCTTTTCACATGTCTGTTGGCCATCTGTACACCTTCTCTAGAAAAAAGTCTATTGGGGTTTAGAGAACCTCCTTTAAAATGCAAATACTTCTGGGGCGCCTGGGTGGCTCAGCTGGTTAAACAGCTGACTCTTGATTTTGGCTCAGGTCATGATCTTAGGGTCCTGGGATTGAGGCCCCTGTTTGTCCATGCTCACTGGGGAGTCTGCTTGAGGATTCTCTCTCCCTCTCCCTGTGCCCATCCCCACTGCACTCTCTCTATAAAATAAATAAATAAATCTTTACAAAAATAAGTAAAATGCAAATACTTCTGAGTAGCCTCAATTTTTCATCAGTGAACACCTGAGCTATAATGAGCACTGCAGCAGGATGGCGGATTAGCAAGTTTCTCTCCAAAGGAAGAACTTTTTCCATCCTCAATTTATTAAGCTTTCACATATGTTATTTGTCATGTCCCAGGAAGCCAGGGAAGTGAGTAGAGCCATACTTTACACAGTAGGAAACTAAGGCTCAGAGAGGTTAGGTAACTTGCCCAGGCCACACAGACAGCTGAGTGGTCCACCAACGAGAACCCAGTTCTGACTCTCCGTGCCACCGAGCTGCATGAACCTGATTCACGGAGCCAAAGCCCTGTCACTAATTCAATTTCTCATTCAGCCTCCTCATGATTCTGGACGAATTCAACCCCAAATGTCCCTGACCTCCCCCGTCACTGAAAGGAGGCATAAAGATATAAAACAGTTTTGGACAGATGATCTGATGCTTTGAAGAAGCTGTCGAAGAGAAGGGGCTGCAAGCTGATTAGGCCTGAGCGAAAATTCCATTGAATAAGACTATCATAAAGAATCTACAAAAAAAAAAAAAAAGAATCTGAAATGATCCAATCCTGTTAAGAAAAACTTGCTTGCGCCAGCTGTCCACATCTGACTGGGAAGGCTGAACGTTCCCCTCATTTTTCGTCCGGCATCGGGAAACCTAGTCAACCCTATCTGCCCCGGACGTCTTACTTTCTCACTTGCCATGTGGCCATTCACTCTGGTGTTTGCATGGTTCTTGCATATCTGTGTGCATGTCGTTAGCAAGACAGTGAACGTGTGGTCTGCATACAAGGCGACAGGCAGGAACACGGGAACACATTTTCACATAATTGTTTGTTGAGTGCCTAGTGGATAAAAGATATCTGGCATTTCCTAACAGGGTAATCTCATTGCATTTGATTATCAGATAATGAGCAAATATTTTCAAATGTTCAAATGCTCAGCTTTTTTTTTTTCCAACAGTCTTTTCATAGTCATTTTCCCAGGTAAAATTGGGACACGACCCAAAACAAAATTCCCACTTTGAAGTAAGATTAGAATTCCGTTTATTCTTGGCTCCAGTTCATGGTGTTCACTTTACCTCATCAGTAGAATACGTTCTAGAACACTCACCTTATCCTGCTTGTTGTCAAAGTGACTAAAATACCATAAGGTGCAATTCGGGCTGGCTCCTTCAGGAGGATCCCATGTCCATATGACCGTGCAGAGGTTTTCAACAGAAACACTCAAATTCGTCACAGGTGGCTGGGTTTCTGCTCAAATCAAGCACAAGAAATAAATTTATCAACATCAGCCAGCATTTTCAGTAGGCCATGAAAGCCATTCCTCCCAGTCCTGGATGTCAAGAAGAATAAAACAACAGCTAGAATTTATTGAGCCAGGCACTGTTCCTAGTACTCTCCTCACTAATCCACTGGCTCGTCACAACCGTCTTGCGAGATAGAACTATCAGCTCATCTTAAAGATGACGTGACCGAGGACAAGAACACTGAGTCACTTGCCCCATGTCCCATAGATCATAAACGGCAGAGCCAGGATACATACCCAGAAAGTGTGCCTCCAAGGCCACATTCTTTTTTTTTTTTAAGATTTTTTTTTTATTTGACAGGGAGACACAGCAAGAGAGGGAACACAAGCAGGGGAAGTGTGAGAAGAAGAAGCAGGCTTCCCGCAGAGCAGGGAGCCGGTTGCGGGGTTTGATCCCAGGACCCTGGGATCATGACCTGAGCCAAAGGCGGATGTGCAACGACTGAGCCACCCAGGCGCCCCGCAAGGCCACATTCTTAACTACCTGCTAGAGTGTGGACAAAGGGAAGAGTATGGTCTTAAATCTCCCTTTCCCTCCTGCAGGAGTCTGGGGTCCCCTATGCCTGGGATCGACACCTCACTCGACGCAACCACTTCAATCTCTGCAGCTCCGTGGGCGACCTCAAGCAGCACATCTTTCATCGTGACCTGGTTAACTGTTATAACTTTTCCAAAGAAATACTGAGGAAGATTTAATAGTTCTTGTTGCTCCCCTGAGGTCTGACACTACACAGCTGGGACTGTAGCTTTGACTAATCTAAAGAGGGAAGAGAGGAGGAGAAACTGAACCAGTGTCTTAAAAATGTGTTTCATTTGGAGAAAACCCACCACTGCCTCTACCAAAATATTTAGTGAACCTATTATTTTGGACCAGCTCTATCATCAGTGAAAGGAGTTTTAATGCTTCTGCCAAAAACAGGGAAAGGCACAGAGCAGGGGTTGGGGGAATGAAACATCATTTCAAACTTTGCCAACAGCCCGGGTGACCAGGACTACCAGAATCGTCCCCCAGAAACTGTAATAATAATAATAACATAATAATAATATAATCCGTAACTACTTATACCATTACCTTCTTCTTTAACGGGACAAAAAATGCCTTTTATCCCCCAACAGGAGCCCCACAGGCATTACGTAGTTGGCATTTCCCCAAAGGTCAGTTGTATTCATAGTAGCCTGCAAAGGCCCTGGACTCTCCATACTCATTCCCTCTTTCCCGACTCTTCCCCCATTAGTTTTTCCACAAGGCTGACCAAAGGCCCAACTGTGGGGAGGAGCAGAAAATTCCTACTGCACTGCACCAGAGCCCAGCTCTCGTCTGGAAGCCCCCGCGGCTCGGGCAACAGGGCTAACGCGAGGATTCGAAGCGATGACTGGCGAGTACAGCTACTCCATTTTGGTCTTTCTAACATCACATGGATGAAACTTTTGAAGACAAATCATTCGTCAACTACAGAACCCTTAATAAAACCTTTGTGCCGGGGCAGCTGGGTGGCTCAGTCAGCTGAGAACCAGACTCGGTTTCAGCTCGGGTCATGATTTCAGGGTTGTGAGATCGAGCCCCGTCTTGGGCTCCCCGCTCAGCATGGAGATTCTCTCTCCCTCTCTCTCTGCCCTTCCCTCCCACCCCCTCCCTTTCTCTGTCTCTCTCTCAAATAAATCTTAAAATAAACAAATAAATACATAAACAATAAAAAAATAAAAACTTTGTTCCTCCTGAAGACTATAATCTACTTTAGCCTTATCGGCCTTATTCTGCACTTTCCAGAAACAGAGTGCAGCAAACTTGCTGACGCTCTACCTTCCCATCCCCGCACAAAAATTAAAGCCCTGATTAAAAAAAAAAAAAATACTACCTATTTATAGTTCACATAAATCACACTTCAATTTTCAAGGCGACTTATAAAATCTACTTTTTAACTTCAGTATTTTGCCAGAACAATGGCCCGCATGATTCCTAATCTCTCCAGTGGGTTTATTTTTCTCCATCTGTTCTGAAGTGTCTTTTAGTTAAATCTTCTAATTGGTTTGCATTTTTAGGCTACTTGTGGCTAACTGCCACCGTTTTGTTTCCCACCTAATGGTCCCTTCCATTTCCCTTGAGATTTTTCTACTTCTTATACTTTAAAATACATTCACACATGAGTGCGCGCACAGACACACACATACGGAAAGTTAAAATATAGTCTCCAAAGTTTAGATATATATGAATACGTGTGTATATATGTATGACACACTGAGATATGTACATACATAAGTGGTGACTGTACTTCTAAAGATCTCTGACAGTTCCTCATGTGTAAGACAAAATATAATCTCAGTACAGTGCAGGACTAAGATCATGGACTCTGGAGCCCGACAGCCCGAGTTCCTGTCCCAGCTCTGCTACGTAGTAGGTGGCAAGTTACTTAACCTCCTCTCTCTGCTCTAGTTTCCTTAGGTACAACACAAGCATGAAAATAATAACCCATCAGAAAAGAGTCATTGTGAGGATGAAATGAGTCAATACAGATAAAATGCTCTGAACAGTGCCTGGGCCGGAGCGAGTACTATGTCAATGTTAGCTATCTACTTTCTTTTTGAAGAAACAAAACAGCTCTCAACAGTTGCTTTGGTTGTCTGTGAAATGGACCCGTCTGTGGGACAGAACAAGTCAGACATCGAATTTCAACTACTTCTTTTTTTTTAATATTTTTATTTTTATTTATTTGACAGAGATCACAAGTAGGCAGACAGGCAGGCAGAGAGAGGAAAGGGGGAGAAGCAGTCTCCCTGCTGAGCAGGGAGCCCGATGCGGGGCTCAATCCCAGGACCCTGGGATCATGACCCGAGCCGAAGGCAGAGGCTTTAACCCGCTGAGCCACCCAGGCGCCCCTCAACTACTTCTTTTTAAAGGTTGATCATTGCCTTCAGAAAGGGGAATGGGCAGGCGGGAGGGACTCAAGTGGGTCACCCCTCCCCCCGCCCCCCGACTCAGACCTCGAGTGAGTCTGTACAGTTACCTAGCACAGTGTCCCATTCTACTTAGGACACAGACCGTGCTCTTTCTAATAAGGCGTGTTGCTTGGCGATTCGTTTTTGCTCCCTCCTATTCCATCCCAGGAGCTGGCAGAGGCATGCCTATTCCCGGAAAAGTTAAGGAAATCACAGTCATAAATGAGTCACCGCCTCCTTCCCTTACATCTAGTCAGTCATCAATGTCTATCCCTTTCTTCTTGTAACGACTCTCTTAATCATTCCAACCACACCAGCATGCTCTGCTGGGCCCCGTGAGGCAGGCTGACACCAGTTAAATCACAGCCCCAGACAGGAGGCATTCACAACACATCCGTCTAGGGGACATCTTCAACCCCAGAGCCCCGTGTAGCTTTATACTCCAGCGATTCCTGTCACCCGGGGAAGTCTTCATGCTTGCTTCTCCTCCGCTGTCATTTCCCCCCACACTGTGCCCCGCTCAGGGCCTTCATGGGCAAACGAAACTCTTCTGCCTGGACTGACTTTGCCAACGCACCCTCCTGCCCAGCCGGGCTGCTCGTTGCCCACAGAGGGAGCAAGACCCTCTCCCCCACACTCCTGCGTCTAGGCTCCTGCTGGTCTCCCCCACCTAGGAAGAACTTCTCCACCCACTCGGATTCCCCCCATCCTGAAGGTCTAGCTCAAGTTTTTACCACTTCCATGCAACTGCCAGCCCTCACAGCTCTCCGTCTTCCGGATGCCTACAGTGCTTAGGGTTTGAACCATATGCCATGGCAATTATAAAGCGAGTCTCCAATACACAATCAATCACTTCATAACCGATGACCTTATACAACCGTTCAGGGTTTCCAACCAGTCCTGCCCTGCAGCTCTGGGAGGTGCTCAGCTCCTCTCCCAGCCAAGGACCCCCCCTCCCTTCGACAGAGGGAGGCACTGAATACCATGGTCAAGAGCGTGACCTCTGGAGTCAGACCACGTACCCCACGAGACCTGGAGCAAGGCTCTGAACCTCACCATGCCTCAGCTACCTCATGTACAAAGTGGGGACTCACAGCAGTGCCCACAGCATAGGTTTTGTGTAAAGATGAAATGAAACAACGTAAGCAGAAACACTCAGAACACTGCCCTACACAGAGTATCTTAAACAGTATATAAAGGCTAGTTGTGGTTATTAACGCATGGCACCACATGGCCCAGCAGCCCGAAGAGACTAAACAAAGCCAGTAACCAAATCATATTTATGAACACAGAGAAGCTTAGAGCTAGGAAGGGCCCTCAGAATTTACGGATCAGAAAACTGCCACGTGAGCACGGGGAAATGATCAGCCCAGAGCCCCACAGCTGGGAAATGTCAGAGCATGAAAACTTGAGTCCCGTTTTGTTTTGTTTTTCCTTCACCACATCTCCTTGCGAGTCTCTCAGTATTTCTAATGGGAAAAGAGCTTCTGTATTCTAAGTTACCAAGTTCGCAATGAACCGCTGAGACAAAATGTGATTAAGTGGGGGTGGCAGGGGATGATCTAGAAGGCCAGCTGTTGTTTCAGGTGTGTGTGTGGGGGGGAGTCTGTAGGAGGGAAGGTGTTGGGGCAGGACGGTGAAAATCAGGACCCTAATGAGTGGGATGACCCTCAACCAGTCCCTTCCTTTCTCTGGACTGAGCTTCCACATATGGAAGCGATCCCCATCCCCTCCTGAACTGGAAGCAGGTGGCGGGAGGGGGGGGGGGTAGCAAGGGTTAGGCTGAACCCTCTAAGGTTCTCCACGAACCCCCAGAGCCTGGCTCAGGACTAAACAACGCAGAAGCTTGAATAATTATTAACTGGAAACCTCAAACCTGCCTGCGGCCTCCACTCTAAATGCCACCTTTCAGTAAAGGCTTCCCGCTTCACCCTATCTATAATGGCAAACCCCTTCTCTGCTTCGTTTTTCTTGATTGTACTTGGCGCCATCTGACATACCTGATATTTTACTTCCCGCCTCCCCCCGCCCCCGGAGGCCTCTGCCAATAGCACAGAAGCGTACAGCGCAGGGGCTTCGTCTGCGGCACTCACCGCCCCCTCCCATCCTCAGCCCCTAGAACACCACCTGGCACAGAGCGGACTGCATTCGTTGTGTTGACTGAATCAATAGAGGGCATCGAGATTGCCCAATCAGCATTTCAACTTGGGTTTCAAAGCACCACGCACTGGTGAAAAGGCAATGGGCAAACTGTGGGTGTTTGTGTCAATATGGTAATAAAAGCTCTCTAATTTGGAGCTGCTATTGTCACCCAACGTGACCAGGCCACTGGAGCAGGGAGCTGTCCGGGAGGAAGTCATTCTACTCTTCCCGGCAGAACTCTGCCCGGTTGATTAATGAAAAGTTGCCGCACAGGGTGAGGGGTACACACGAACCCGCGGGAGTACCCTGGCAACTTTCCTGTAAACCGACAATTATTTCCAAATATAAGGGTCATTAAAGAAACAAGGCGTGCACCCGGATGCTGCTCCGGGTTTCCAAACGGATTTCTCAAAATCCAGAGGAAGCCGTAGCCCTCACGTCCCTTATTCTCCGAGGACCCGGGTCTTCCGGAGCTCCTTTCAACTCCACCCCCGCACTCGACAGGCGGGGTCCCGGGCAAGGAGACCCGGGGCGATTCCCCGCTTGCCCGGACCTCGGTCGCCGACTCCACCGCCTCCAGGCCCCCTCATCCCCACCCGGGTGACCGGCCGGGTCCCGGCCCGCCGCCCTCCGACACCGCGGGCAAACTTCTCTCCCGCGCCTGGGCCCCGAGCTCCCCAGCTCTTCCCGACGACGCGAGGGAAGTGAGGCGGCGAGTCGTCGTCCCGCTCCGCCACCGCCGCCACCGCCGCCCGCGACCTGGGAATGCCCCGTCGCTCCCGCCCCCCGCCCCTCGAACGGGGCGCCGCAGGCTGCGGTCCCCGAGCACCGATCGTCGTGAGGTGATCGCCCCCCGCCCCCGCCCCCCAGCGCCCTCCCTCGCCGCAGCACCCCGGCCCCCCTCGGCCGCCGCCCCGAGCCCGCGGCCGCACTCACCGGTGGGCGCGGCGACCGCGCCGCCGCCGCCGGCGCAGAGCAACAGCGCCCACAGCCCGCAGAGCCGCGCCGGCCGCGCCATGCAGCCCCTCTCGTCGGAGCCCGGCCGGGCGGCGAGGCTCCGCAGTCTCCGCCTCCTTCGCTCCCTCTCCCACTTCCCGGCTCCACCGCCCCGAGAGACTGGAGACCGGCGCAGACCGGAAAGGCCGCTCCGCCCACCCGCCGCAGGTAACCCGAGCCGCGAGCCGCGGGCGGAGGGGGCGGGGCGCCGGGGCCCCCGCACCTCCCGCGCCTCGCGCCGCGTCACACCTGGCCCTGCCGCCGCCGCCCCACCGCCCCGCCGCCGCCGCCCCGCCGCCCCGCCGCCCCGCGCCGACCCCTCCGGAGACCGGGCTCGGCTCTGGCCAGACTGAACTTCCTCGAGCACGTCGCGGCCCAGCCCAGGCGCCCGCCGGTCCCGCCCTCCGCGCGCCCGCGCCAGCCCCGGCCGGCGCCGCCTGTGCGCGCGGACCTGCGGGGCCGGGGTCGCGGGGTGCTGGGCTTCCCCGCCTCCAACTATCCCCCGCCCCCAACCCGGGCACCGCGGCAGGGCCACCGACCGGAAGGCGCCTCGGCCTCGGAGTCCGGAGACGCGGCTCCCAGTCGTCGGTCTCTGAGCAGCTGTTTGCAAAACTCTGATTCCAGACTTCTTAATCCCAACACCACCTCCCAGGGTGGGCCCGGGCCCAAGACCCAAGAGGGGACTTAGCGGGGGCGTGCTGGGCGAAAAGGCCGGAAGGTGTGTTGGAAAAGTGGTAATACATAATATTGAGACGGGGCTGGTGGTGGGGAACAAAATATTAAATGGGAACGACGGTGCCATACCATGTCCAGTACTTGCATTCTGAAAAGCACACAACCAACTTTCTAGGTATTTCTTTTTCATGGGTTTAGAGCCAGAAGGTGAGTCAGAAGGACACACGTTGAACACAGAAAGTGGGTGACTACGAAGGTCAATGAGGCTGCGGATGGAGGAGAAAGGGAACCCCTGTTTCTTGTTGCTGCTGTAACCAATTACCGTATGTGTGGTGACTTGAGATGGGTTTTTTTTAGAGTTCTGCAGGTCAGAAGTCTCACTGGGCCAAAATCAAGGCATGAGCAGAGCTGTGCTCTTTCTGGAGGTTCTGAGAGAGAAGCAGTGTTTAGCTTCTCCAGGCGGCCCATGCCGCTGCTCAGGTCACTTCTCTTGACTCAGGCCCTCCTGCTGCATTTTTTCATTAATAAAAACCTTCGTGATTAGATTGGACCTACCAGATAATCCTCATGTCAAAATCCTTCACTGAATCGCATTTACGGAGTCCCTTTTGCCATATAAAGTCACATATCCACAGTTGGCTGGGACCAGGGCATGGAGATCTTTGGGGAGGGGTGTTACTCTCTCACCAGCCCCCCAAAAAGGATCACATCTCGATACATGATGAAACCCACTAACGTAGGTGTATTTCGGTTGAATTAAGCCAATGTATACAGAAATCTGTTGCCAAAAAATACAGCAGTCAAAATGCTGACAACACACCTAGTCTCCTTTAACATATTGGAAACAAAGGCCTCACTCTGAGAATTATGGCCCTCAAGTTCAAAAAATATTTGCTGTCCTTCCAGGAACTGGGGGAGCCACTAATTAAAAGCAGGCCCTGCCAGCAAAGAGCTGCCATTAGTGTGTGGGGCTCCCATAAGGACAAAAGCAAGGAACTATGGGGCACAAAGAAGGGGCGCCTTCTGGGACAGAAGGGGCAAAGGAGGCTTCCAGGAGGCAGGCCTGCCTGCATGGAATCTCGAGATAAGTCTTGCGTTCAAGGTTCAGAATCCCTCCTTGTCTGCATGTGTTACTGAACAACATTGTGGTTATGAAAACACTCTGTAAACTATGGAAGCTGGTAGAACAGAGATATTACTGCTATTTCTAAATCCCCCTGCAAATAGGCCAGCCAGTCTCTAACCTAAGACCCCTTCCCCCCACCCCCCGTCACCATCACCACACACATACACTTGTTGACATTTGCTCTAAACATTATACAACAAGTTTATAATAACATTTCCAAAAGGATTATGTCATCGGCCTTTTATAAAGTCTCCACTTGGAACAGGAGCCCCTGGGGACTGGCTTAGTGCCATCGTGGGCACTATCTGGCATAGACTGAGCGAGTGCCTAATGAAATGAAGTGTAATGGCAGCAAATGATTAGCAAAACAAGGGTCACGACTTGTCATTAGCCTCCAGAAAAGGCCCTGAGAATTGTGAGTGTGGTGAGGCAAAAGACAAAGGGCAGTGGCATGACCATAATAATACTGGGCTGCTGACCGTGAGTACAAGTGTTCTAGACAGTTCCACTTCCCCCTACCCTAAACGTCAAGCCACGTTTAAAAAAAAAAAAAAAGATATTTTGGAGGGAGTGGGGAGGCTTAGGAATGCTGTTTCTTCAACATCAATCTTTTATTTGTAAATTGTCTTGTACTTTTACTCAGAGAGCGTCTCAGATTGCATTAGCCCACTGCTCTGGTCTGTGCGAAGATGAAGACAAATGGACAGCTTTCTGGGAATTGCAATAAACACCTCTTATTTGGGCTTTGTGTAATCCGAGTCATGATGAGTCCACATCAAGTTTAGCTTTAATTCGTAATTCATTGAGCCCCTGATGATTTGGGTGTGAGATTACCCATCGTCTTTCTTTCCCCTTTGGCCCCGAGGTGGCTGGAACTCTGGACTCCCCCCTAGGTACCTCGGCCACTCCAGCTGGCTTTTTGGATCTTTACCCTTTTCACTAAGGCTTCCTCCTTTTTTGTGAGTGGAGTTAGAAAAGGGTACAAGCAAGAAAATAGCTGGGGGATGGGGGTGGGGAAGAGCAATGTTCCTCTTTCCAAAGTCAGGTCTCCTTCCAGGCAGTTAGAAACACCTTCCGGAATTTGTAAAGGACAGAGACGCCAGCATATATACCAAGGGCTTAACTAAGACTTCTGGCCCCTTAAATAAAAATCTCACGAAGGGTCTTCTGCCTTTTATCAGGCCCAAACCGAATAGGTACTCACCGCCACCACGGTGTGAAGAAAAAAAGGGAAACAGCAAATAGGGAATTTCCCTTCTTCTGACACTAAGCCATGGCTCCCTGCAAGGGTTGATTTGTCCTCCTCAGGGGACATTTGGCAATGTCTGGAGATATTTTTGGCTGTCCCCACTTGGGGTAGGGGTGGTGTTACTGGTATCTAGTGGGTAGAGGTCAAGGATACTGCTAAACTGCACAGCCCCCCCACCACCCCAGCCAAGAATTATCCAGCTCAAGATGACCATGGTGCCGAAGTCAAGAAACCCTGAGCTCGTGTACTCTGTTATATTTGCACTTGGCCCCTAACCATCCATTGTCCTCGTGCCCACTGAGAATTAGTGAGAGGTTGACGCTCTAAGTGTTTAACCTTGACACGTTCCTTTCCTGCATGTGGTGTGCGCGTGGCTTCCCCGCCCAACCATCCAGCCGCGCAGTCCCTTCTATCACAAAACACCTCTCAGGTCAATTCTCCCCCTTCCTCGCCTCCACGGGTCTCTTCAGGTCCTTATGGCCTTGCCCTTATACAGTCGCAAGGGTCTGCACATCTCCCCTCCATGAGACGAATCTTCCGATGTGCAGATCTGATCATTTCTGATCATTTCACTCCCTGCTTCTTCTTTTTTTTTTAAGATTTTATTTATTTGACAGAGATCACAAGTAGGCAGAGAGGCAGGCAGAGAGAGAGGAAGGGAAGCAGGCTCCCCGCTGAGCAGAGAGCCCGATGCAGGGCTTGATCTCAGAACCCTGAGATCATGACCTGAGCCGAAGGCAGAGGCTTTAACCCACTGAGCCACCCAGGCGCCCCCACTCCCTGCTTCTTAAGGGACACCTTCTCGCCTCAGAGGCCACAGACAGTAGTCTGGCCATGCTTGCCTGCCGGCTTGCTTCTTCAGGGCGGCTTCCTCACATTTTTCACTGTCTCTTCACCAGCCGGGCTTCCCCAGTCCCTCGGCAGCCCAGCACTCTCAGCCAACAGGCCAGCTTTAGGCTCCAAGTCCCTCGCAGGCACTTTTGTTTGGCCCACATCGTGTTTAAATATATTTGGATTTAGATTCTAGACGTGAAAAAAAAAATCAGGAGATTTTACATGACACCCCAGATTTTCAGCTTCTCTTAAGCAATCAGAAGCTCTGGGGACGCCTGGGTGGCGCCATCAGTTAAGCGTCTGCCTTCAGCTCAGGTCATGATCCCAGAGCCCTGGGATCGAGTCCCGCATCCGGTTCCTTGCTCAGTGGGGAGTCTGCTTCTCCCTCTGCCTGCCGCTCCCCTGCTTGTGTGTACCCTCTCTCTCGCTCTCTTCCTCTGACAAATAAATAAATAGTATCTTAAAAGAAATAGAGATATCAGGAGTTCTGGTAACGTTGGACCTGTGTTCCATTGCACCAGCCGTCAGGAGGTGCCAATCAGGAGGTGCTATCTTATCAACGGGACATGTGCTGTCTGTCAGCACAGGCCCTATGCTCCTTGGCCTGGCCTGCTTCCCTCCCTACTTGCCTGACCCCGTTTGTCACCTCCAATGTTTTCTCTCTACAAACCTTCCCTCTTGCTGTTCTTTTTGCCCAGAAAGCTCTTCCGTTCCTCAGCCTTGCATTTTGTAACGTTCTTTAACCCCCCAATACAAAATTCTTTACGCTCACTTCTCCGTGGTGCCCATAGCACTCGACAGAGTCCTCTACTGTAGCAATTAACAGAGAGGTTTGTGCATGTGTCTAGAGCCACCGCGGGATTCGAGCTCCTGGAAGGCGGAGACACTGCCCAGGGTAACTCCAGGATTCTCACCTAGGAGGAGCTTTGGGGCAGTCTTCTGATTGGAAGGGACAACTACCAGGGGGGTTGTCCTGAAACCGTGGGCGTGCAGCAAGTGTGGACACGCCTCTCTTCCTTAGATTCTGAGTTTGTTCGGGTGGCTTGAGCAAGCGCTCTCTCTGGCACCAGGGAGAACGCAAAGTGGAATGTGACACGGTCAACGTCAGTGACATACCATGCTCTCGGGTCTGGGCTTCATTGACTTGGATGTTCTTGCTCTGCCGTAAGTGGTTTTCCTCTACGGGTTTAGTGATGCTCACTTCCAAGAGAGCGCCGTTTGCACAAGGGGCTCATGACCGGATCCTCTGGGTTTCGCCTAAGGCCAAGATGTGAGGTGCTGGGGTATCTGCCAGGG